CTTAACTTTGCCTCAGTTGCAATTGTAACCTAGTGTACATATTCATATCGATTTTTGAATAAATATCAAATGACCACACAGACACTATTTATCTTATTACCTGAAAAATAGCATTAACAACCATGCATAGAGCATCCATATACAAAGTTCACAGAAAGCAAAAAAACATCTGGACCAGGAATAATAAATATCATTGTACAAATGAGTACACAAATATTGACACTTGTGCAAGACATTTTGTTCATTATGAATGCCTAAATGATTAATTACATATTCTAGTGAAGGTAGGATATTTACTGATAATGCATATAAAAGTCATAAAAGGATAAAAAAAACAATGTTGAATTCAAGAGACTGGGTTCATGTTTAGATTAACAGTAAAAATATTCTCCACTTAGAGTGAGTTGGGCTTGACACCACTTTTAGCAATATTCCAGTAATATAACGGCGGGGGACACCAGAAATGGGCTTCACACATTGTACCCATGTGGGGAATCAAACCCGGGTCTTTGTCGTGACAAACAAATTCTTTATCCACTAGGCAAACTCGTGTCCCTCTCCGCTCAGAACATAGAGAATGTCTGACACAGAAAGAGAGTTTGAGAGAGAGGATGCACACTGTACCCAAGTCACAAAGTGAACAAAAAACACATGGTTTGCTGGCATACTATACTAGGTGTGTGAAAAAAAGGGATGTGCAGCCCCTGGGTTTCTGGCGTGCCCAAGGGATGCCACTCTACACAGCAAATTGCCGCCCTTAGACTGGTCCCCCAGTGCCCCATGGATGTCTGTTGAAACACTGAGAGTGTGTATACTTGGATTGCTACTCCAACTGCTTTTGTTAAAGTACGACATATTTAGAGAAGTAATATTTTGTATCTTAATTCCTTATTTTGTGAAATAGATTCACATGATCTTTCCAATCATATAAAGAATACACTGGCTATCAACCTATTGTTCTAACACCACATAAAATAATGGAAATTGAGTTTTAGAGTCAGTTAACTCTCTTGCCTCAGGAGTGAGAGATTGTCTATGTATGCTCTATGCCTGGGACATGTAGTGTGTGAGCGAGTATGGTTTTACGCTGCTTTTAGCAATATTCCAGCAATATCATGGCAGGGGACACCAGAAATGGGCTTCACACATTGTACCCATGTCGGGAATCGAACCTGGGTCTTCAGCGTGACGAGCGAACGCTTTAACCACTAGGCTAAACCGCAGAGATTACGCTCCAAAGGTGAAGATAAACATGACAGGGAGATGAGCTGATGGAATTGTTAGATTATGTTGGGAGAAATATGTTAACAAGATATGACAACTTTTCATTTTCTAGCCAAAATATGTACAAGAACAGTAACTCATTGTAAAGTGCAAGAATACTTATTTCATAGTAGTTATTTTCATTTCATATCTTTGAATACAGAGGACAGTTACAGAAATACTTGGTGGTTTCTTCCTGGTTTTTATCAACAGTGTTGACACAAGGCCTATTGACATGAGTGAACATGGCATTTCACATTGAGTTTCATGTTTCATCAACAACTGAACTGCGTCACAGGAAGCTTGGGCTGTATGCATCCAGGAAGTTGAGGATGCAGTTTTGGGTGGGTGGGTGCGTGCGTGAGTGAGTGAGTGAGTGAGTTGGGTTAAACGCCACTTTAAACAGTATTCCAGTTATATCAAGGCGTGAAACATAATTGGGGTGAACCGGGATTCGAACCCACAATCTCAGGTTTCTGGCATGCCCAAGGGACACTACTCTGCACAGCGAATCGCAGCGCCTTAGACGACTCGGCCACCCATGCCCCCGAATGCAGTTTTGAGTGAGTGAATTTTCTATATTATTTAATTTTTCAGCTATACCACAGCAACCTGAAAATGATCAAGCCCTGACCAGACAAACCATTCAATGGGTACTATGAGCAACGTTCCACACTGGAGTACGTTGACATACGATGAAACTGTTACAAAACTTATGAGACTTCAGCTCGGTACTTGGAGGCCAATAGCCTATTGTACACGAGGCATAACAATTCTATTCATATAACTCTCATGTCTTACAACAAGACAAAGTATGCCCTGGGCAGTGGGTTAAAGTGTCAACAATATTTCATCTATCTCATCACAATCAGTATAACGAGAGAGAAGTCAATAGTACAATTATGTTATTATATGAGTGTTTTCATATTGGGCTTTTTATAGGTCCAAGGTCAGGCATATTAGCTAGAGGCAGGCTGGATTGGCCCGAGGCAACAATTCCTCATTCCAATACAGCTTACCTGGGGCCACTATGGCTCAACGAGGACCTATAACAAGGCCAATATGAAAACACCTATTTAATGACATACCCCAGTATTTATTAATTGACTGTTAAACTCTATGTTTTCAAGAAGTACCAGTCAAGAAGAGCAAGGAAAAGCATTCAAATTGAAATGTATGAAATACTATTTAGTTAACGATTGCAGTACACTCAAGAATTAGGAATGCAATCATGCACAATAGCTGTAATGGCCAAGCAAAGCTGTATTGACCTGCACAAATCCTGTCTTGGCCTGCTGAACCCATACCGGCACTCAAGTGCGTCTATATGATGCGGGACGATCTGAGCGTATTACGGACAGTCGATTAATAACGTTTGTTATTTAAAGCCAAACTCAACAATAAACAGTTATGAGACAGGAGTCTGCAAATAATCAGGTCTGGACCAGACAATCTGGTGAGTGTCGGTGGGCTTAATCCACAAATTGGGATGCAATATGCTTGCAATCAACCAAGTCAGCGAGCCTGACAACCCGATCCACTGAGAGGCCTCTTAGGGTAACCATAAGTGCTGGGGACCTATTCTAACTCCTGAAGGAGTATCCCGACCATGGGACGATAATGAACCTAAAACAATGATAATGAACAAAAGATCACTATTGGAGTGAGTTATAGGGTTGCGACCGGGTACGAAAACTGAACTCGAGTACCCGGCAGACAATACCCGAACCGGACTCGAGTACCCGTAGTTCAATGTTGTCCCACTTGTTTGTAATGCTTTTGCGAATAAAAGGTCATCAAACATCTATTGATCTATTCTAAGGTATTATGTTTTTAATTAAATGCCTGCATGGCTTACCTAAAACATTTGAACGTTTGTCCGCTTTTTCGTCCATTTTGAAGTGACTTACGAGTTACGAAAGGCGATTAGAGTTATCTCCCCTGAACGGGTACTTGAGTCCTGAAAATTGGACTCGAGTCCTAAGCTTCCCGACCCGTTATCGGGTACTCGAGTACCCGTCGCAACCCTAGAGAGTTAATCTAGGGCATAATCCCATATAACAGTGTGCAGCTGAAAAGTACACCTCTGCACTGGGAATCCTTTCATCTTTTGGGGCCCTGTATTCTTCTCTTCCGATATTTGATTAAAGGTTTCACGCGACATTACATGACATACCCTGTTTATTAACTTCTCCATATTGATGTCCTGCTAACACACTTCAAGCTAAACTGGAGAAAACAGCAACAAAAACCACTACCATTTTTTTAGAAATCATTAGTTTGAGAGGTTAATAAGTACATAAACATAACAAAACAGTCATAGTTATCAGTATCACTATGGTATTGGACAAAGATCTAAGACAAAGTCAACCATGTTACATACTTAACTATATGAGCAATCTTAAAGATTATAATACTCCTGATTAAGAACATTTTTACACGGATTTGTGAAAAGTGTTACAAGTAAATGTATATACATCATGTACAGGTATGACACCATTCAGCAAACAGGGGCTGACCTAGTGAGCCACACCCACTACACGGCTTCTGTATGTCCTACAGGACCCCTGGACCAGGGACCAACCAGCCAGTGTGTAATGTGAACACTAGTGACTTCAGAACATTGATCACTACACAGCTTCTGTATGTCCCACAGGACCCCTGGACCAGGGACCAACCAGCCAGTGTGTAATGTGAACACTAGTGACTTCAGAACATTGATCACAGCTTAAATTGTCATTCCGAAAGGCAGTTGGTACAAACATCTACTCAATACTGTATCACAGTAAACCAATCAACTCTAGCATTAAACATCAAAGAATATGTCTTTTGTTCTTTAGAAGTTGTCACAATCCTGGCATAAAATATATTTCATTTCAATTTCTAATTAAAATCCATAAAGCATTATTTATAAGGCAATTCTTATGACACAAACTTTTTTTCTTTAATCTGGAAAAGCCATTTATTACAAAGGAAAGTCTAAAGAAAACAATAGCCTGAACTAGTACAATTTTTTTAATTCAGTAAAAATCATTGACAATCATCCACTGATAAAACACTCAGAAGGTTCTGAAGTTGTCTCTGTATAGGTCTAAAGAGAAAACAGAGAACACGATGTCATATGCAGTTCATAATGCTCCTGTCAATTGTGTACCAATGGTTTGCTTGTTGTTTAACACTGCAGTAAGCACTATTCTGGCAGTAACACCAGGGTCCACTTGCACAAAGTGATCATAGCGCTAAGATGATCGTAACTCCCATACTTTAACATAGGCTTACGATAGTCTTAGCACTCAGATCGCTTTGTGCAAGTGGACCCTGGTCTGTTGTTGGTACAAGGAACAATGACCCCACGTCATCAGGGTACAAGGCCAGTGGCGGATCCAGAGGGGGAGTCCCTACCCCTCCCCCTTCTTTACATCTGATAGCAACTTGTATGCACATTTCCTACCATGATAACATGTTGATCTGGTTGTTGAAGTAAAATTATTAACAAATGGCTCAAGTGGAACCTCCCCTTTTTTAAAATCCTGGACCCGCCCCTGAAGGCCAAGCAATCAACCAAGACATGGAACCTGACCATCTTGTAGTTGTACAGGTTAAAGATCTCTCGAAGCAAGCACTAAGTGATGGGGACATATCTATTGTATGGATCAGGTATTGTACAGGACAGGTTTTGTACTAACAGACTGCGAGTTATACTAATCATAGTTCTACTAAAGAATCACAAAAATTGATTTGAAAAAGATAACCTTTCATTCAAACATTTGAGATTAAATATAAACAATCCCATAGAGACAGCTTTCTATCACAACTCACCAACAGTCTGAGATTGCCTGATCCACTCGATTATTTACAGACCACTGTCATATAGCTGGAGTATTGCTGAATGCGGTATTAACAAAATCTGTGTTGTCCCGGGCCATACAGCATCAACCTGGCTTGATATCTAGAATTATTAACAACATACTTTATAAGTGTAACACGAATATGATTGTTTCACATTACCACACAGCATTAGTGATCTGTTGCCACTCCCTTGTCACCGACATCTATATAAGGCAAAAGATGACTTCAAACAAGTGTGATGTATTCTCTACATCAGACCTCATAACAGTTACTTAAACTATTCAACAGGTGCAAAGCCAAAACAATAAGGGTCCCATTCCAAAAAGCAATCTTTTAGCACAATACAAGTGGAAAGTCTAAGTTAGAGTATTGGAGTCTTAGCACTACCGCAGTGGAATGCTAAGTTAAAGTATGGGGGAAACAGTAGTCTTAGGCCCAGGGCGCTGTCCCACATCTACCATCTTAGCACTGCCACAGTGAAACGCTGAGTTGAAGTAGGGAGAAACAGTAGTCTTAGGCCCAGGGCCCTGTCCCACATCAACCATCTTAGCACTGCCACAGTGAAACGCTGAGTTGAAGTAGGGAGAAACAGTCGTCTTAGGCCCAGGGCCCTGTCCCACTTCTACCATCTTAGCACTGCCACAGTGAAACGCTGAGTTGAAGTAGGGAGAAACAGTAGTCTTAGGCCCAGGGTCCTGCACCCACAACTACCATCTTAGTACTGCCACAGTGAAACGCTGAGTTGAAGTAGGGAGAAACAGTAGTCTTAGGCCCAGGGTCCTGCACCCACAACTACCATCTTAGTACTGCCACAGTGAAACGCTGAGTTGAAGTAGGGAGAAACAGTAGTCTAAGGCCCAGGGCCCTGTCCCACAACCACCATCTTAGTACTGCCACAGTGAAACGCTGAGTTGAAGTAGGGAGAAACAGTAGTCTAAGGCCCAGGGCCCTGTCCCACATCAACCATCTTAGCACTGCCACAGTGAAACGCTGAGTTGAAGTAGGGAGAAACAGTCGTCTTAGGCCCAGGGCGCTGTCCCACATCTACCATCTTAGCACTGCCACAGTGAAACGCTGAGTTGAAGTAGGGAGAAACAGTAGTCTTAGGCCCAGGGCCCTGTCCCACATCAACCATCTTAGCACTGCCACAGTGAAACGCTGAGTTGAAGTAGGGAGAAACAGTCGTCTTAGGCCCAGGGCCCTGTCCCACTTCTACCATCTTAGCACTGCCACAGTGAAACGCTGAGTTGAAGTAGGGAGAAACAGTAGTCTTAGGCCCAGGGTCCTGCACCCACAACTACCATCTTAGTACTGCCACAGTGAAACGCTGAGTTGAAGTAGGGAGAAACAGTAGTCTTAGGCCCAGGGTCCTGCACCCACAACTACCATCTTAGTACTGCCACAGTGAAACGCTGAGTTGAAGTAGGGAGAAACAGTAGTCTAAGGCCCAGGGCCCTGTCCCACAACCACCATCTTAGTACTGCCACAGTGAAACGCTGAGTTGAAGTAGGGAGAAACAGTAGTCTAAGGCCCAGGGCCCTGTCCCACATCAACCATCTTAGCACTGCCACAGTGAAACGCTGAGTTGAAGTAGGGAGAAACAGTCGTCTTAGGCCCAGGGCGCTGTCCCACATCTACCATCTTAGCACTGCCACAGTGAAACGCTGAGTTGAAGTAGGGAGAAACAGTAGTCTTAGGCCCAGGGCCCTGTCCCACATCAACCATCTTAGCACTGCCACAGTGAAACGCTGAGTTGAAGTAGGGAGAAACAGTCGTCTTAGGCCCAGGGCCCTGTCCCACTTCTACCATCTTAGCACTGCCACAGTGAAACGCTGAGTTGAAGTAGGGAGAAACAGTAGTCTTAGGCCCAGGGCCCTGTCCCACATCAACCATCTTAGCACTGCCACAGTGAAACGCTGAGTTGAAGTAGGGAGAAACAGTCGTCTTAGGCCCAGGGCCCTGTCCCACATCAACCATCTTAGCACTGCCACAGTGAAACGCTGAGTTGAAGTAGGGAGAAACAGTCGTCTTAGGCCCAGGGCCCTGTCCCACTTCTACCATCTTAGCACTGCCACAGTGAAACGCTGAGTTGAAGTAGGGAGAAACAGTAGTCTTAGGCCCAGGGCCCTGTCCCACATCAACCATCTAAGCACTGCCACAGTGAAACGCTGAGTTGAAGTAGGGAGAAACAGTCGTCTTAGGCCCAGGGCCCTGTCCCACTTCTACCATCTTAGCACTGCCACAGTGAAACGCTGAGTTGAAGTAGGGAGAAACAGTAGTCTTAGGCCCAGGGCCCTGTCCCACATCAACCATCTTAGCACTGCCACAGTGAAACGCTGAGTTGAAGTAGGGAGAAACAGTAGTCTTAGGCCCAGGGCCCTGTCCCACATCAACCATCTTAGCACTGCCACAGTGAAACGCTGAGTTGAAGTAGGGAGAAACAGTCGTCTTAGGCCCAGGGCCCTGTCCCACTTCTACCATCTTAGCACTGCCACAGTGAAACGCTGAGTTGAAGTAGGGAGAAACAGTAGTCTTAGGCCCAGGGCCCTGTCCCACTTCTACCATCTTAGCACTGCCACAGTGAAACGCTGAGTTGAAGTAGGGAGAAACAGTCGTCTTAGGCCCAGGGCCCTGTCCCACATCAACCATCTTAGCACTGCCACAGTGAAACGCTGAGTTGAAGTAGGGAGAAACAGTCGTCTTAGGCCCAGGGCCCTGTCCCACATCAACCATCTTAGCACCGCCACAGTGAAACGCTGAGTTGAAGTAGGGAGAAACAGTAGTCTTAGGCCCAGTGTCCTGCACCCACAACTACCATCTTAGCACTGCCACAGTGAAACGCTGAGGTGAAGTAGGGAGAAACAATAGTCTTAGGCCCAGGGCCCTGTCCCACATCTACCATCTTAGCACTGCCACAGTGGAAAGTCTATGTTAAAGTATGGGAGAAACAGTCGTCTTAGACCCTGGGTCCTGCACCCACAACTACCATCTTAGCACTACAATAGTGAAACGCTGAGTTGAAGTAGGGAGAAACAGGAGTCTTAGGCCCAGTGTCCTGCACCCACAACTACCATCTTAGCACTGCCACAGTGAAATGCTGAGTTGAAGTAGGGAGAAACAGTAGTCTTAGGCCCAGTGTCCTGCACCCACAACTACCATCTTAGCACTGCCACAGTGAAACGCTGAGGTGAAGTAGGGAGAAACAATAGTCTTAGGCCCAGGGCCCTGTCCCACATCTACCATCTTAGCACTGCCACAGTGGAAAGTCTATGTTAAAGTATGGGAGAAACAGTCGTCTTAGGCCCTGGGTCCTGCACCCACAACTACCATCTTAGCACTACAATAGTGAAACGCTGAGTTGAAGTAGGGAGAAACAGTAGTCTTAGGCCCAGGGCCCTGTCCCACATCAACCATCTTAGCACTGCCACAGTGGAAAGTCTATGTTAAAGTATGGGAGAAACAGTCGTCTTAGGCCCTGGGTCCTGCACCCACAACTACCATCTTAGTACTGCCACAGTGGAACGCTAAGTTAAAGTATTGAGAAACAGTCGTCTTAGAACCAGGGTCCTGCACCCACAACTACCATCTTAGCACTGCCACAGTGAAATGCTGAGTTGAAGTAGGGAGAAACAGTAGTTTTTAGGCCCAGTGTCCTGCACCCACAACTACCATCTTAGCACTGCCACAGTGAAATGCTGAGTTGAAGTAGGGAGAAACAGTAGTCTTAGGCCCAGGGCCCTGTCCCACATCAACCATCTTAGCACTGCCACAGTGGAAAGTCTATGTTAAAGTATGGGAGAAACAGTCGTCTTAGGCCCTGGGTCCTGCACCCACAACTACCATCTTAGTACTGCCACAGTGGAACGCTAAGTTAAAGTATTGAGAAACAGTCGTCTTAGGCCCAGGGTCCTGCACTCACAACTACCATCTTAGCACTGCCACAGTGAAATGCTGAGTTGAAGTAGGGAGAAACAGTAGTCTTAGGCCCAGGGTCCTGCACCCACAACTACCATCTTAGCACTGCCACAGTGAAATGCTGAGTTGAAGTAGGGAGAAACAGTAGTCTTAGGCCCAGGGCCCTGTCCCACATCAACCATCTTAGCACTGCCACAGTGGAAAGTCTATGTTAAAGTATGGGAGAAACAGTCGTCTTAGGCCCTGGGTCCTGCACCCACAACTACCATCTTAGTACTGCCACAGTGGAACGCTAAGTTAAAGTATTGAGAAACAGTCGTCTTAGGCCCAGGGTTAGGTTCTACAAAAAGTGCTCGACTGTTCTATGTTGATGGATGAGAGTTTTGTCAGTCACAGCACTATGACCAACTTACAGTACAGGTCCCAGAGGATGTCTTCAGTCAAGAAAGGCAATAAACTCCATTACAGCTGGCCGACAGCTATTGGGTCATGCCAAACAATAATAGAATGGGTGTACACTGTTAGCCAAATTCAGGCTTTAATTTACAGCTTAACTTCATCCTTTGCAAAACTGACACCCTATCATAGACAATATTAGACATATAAACTTTGGAATAGAGGTAGGCTTCAAACCAATTTTTGATCTACTTTTCCTTGAGGCTTGTCTGAACATGGTAAGGTTTGGCCAGGAAGGCTAGCAGGATTTTCTTTCCAAATACTGTATGATGCAGGTTACCTAAAAAAATCAACTGAATTCACACACGGAATGAAAGTCTTATGATGCCGTGTTAGGCTAGGTGCACCTCATGCAACACATATCATATTTAGGCTGGAACAATTACATGCTAGGCTGAAACGTTTGATTTCCAGCAGTTTATCTCGTGACAACCAAACAATTTTTCCAAGAATCCACTAAGAAACACTGTCCTGGGATATCTGAACCCATGCAATGTGGCATCCCCTTACAATCGGACAAGAAGCTGTGTGTAGAAATATGACGCTAGTCCCTAGTATCACATGTTCTAGAAGAGCGGCTCTATGCTGACTAGCTTTGGTGACCCGTGGTCAGTAGTTGTAAAGCTTTCTGTAGGTTGTCCACAGCAGTTTTGCTGTCCTCGTACTGCAGAGCACTGCTGGCGTACTTGCATAACTTCATGGCTTTCTGGAAGTCTTCTGTCGTAAGCTGTACACCGGCTGTCACAGAAAAACACACAAGATGCAGGGGTGAGTTGTGTTGAACCAATTAAGTACCAGCAGTAGAAACCAACATTTTTCAGCCATTAGTCCTTATAATGATAACAGATAGCAAAATAAAAAAAATATAGCAAATTTCTAGTGGTCCTTATGATACCGTAACTATTGGGCAGTTTGGCAAGGACTACAGGACAAGTGCCAACTCCTAACACCGCTAGTAACGGTGAGTACATTACCTTAGTAACAAAAGTCACGGCCTTTTTAAACATCTTTTCACACTTGATATTAGAGTGAGTGAGTGAGTGAGTGAGTGAGTGAGTGAGTGAGTGAGTGAGTGAGTGAGAGTTGGTTTAACGCCTCTTTAACAGTATTCCAGTTATATCACAGCGTGTCAGCTTAATGTGGGAGGAAAGCTCGAAGCAATGCAGGTCTTAGACATTTACCACTTTGGTGAAACCCACGAGCACGGGTATGGTGCTGATAAACCTAGAAACATAATCAGGGCGAACCGGGATTCGAAACCACAATCATAGGTTTCTGGCGTGCCCAAGGGACGCAACTCTGTACAGCGAATTGGGGCGCCTAAGACGACTGGGCCACCTGTGTCCCCACTTGATATTAGAGGTGCACAGTATTACCGGTATACCATGGTTTGAAATACTAGAATATGTTGCACAATACGTTTTGAAAAAATCATGCATATTTTCATCTTGTTGGCAAAGCCTATATCAGTAACAATTTGAATTGAAATTATGCTTTTTAGAAATAAGCAATGATTCCTGTGAATGAAAATGCGAAACATTTCGTGACCAGCTTCCAGTATATAATGGGTGCATTACGCAGTTGTGACCACAGCAACATCTAACAAAATGGTGGGTGACTATGGATTGGACATTGGACCATTTCGGATATCAAAAAAAAGTTCAACCAATTGGTATATTTTGTATTCAGGTTCACAAGAAATTACAGATGAAAGAACACATGTGGTACAAATCGCAATACAGGAATCATTATTGCCATTAATTGCAAAACAAAAGCCAGACCAATACTCATCACTACTTTTTATATTGTTACAGACTGTGGGCAACCTGACTTACAGAAGCTTCACAGGCAGGAGAAAACTCTGTGACTACTGACAATAAATAGATTGTATGCAAATGGTGCTCCTTAAAGTTTTTAACTGATTTCCAAAGGTCTATCTATGTTTTTATATAGTTCGCACTTAACACAGTCACTTACTCTGACCACCTGAACCGTGTAGTCGCCTCATACGACAAGTGAAGGTAGCTGGGACTCCTGGGCCCCGTTGCAAAAAGCGATCTTAGCTACGATTAAAGTAAGCCTATGTTAAAGTATGGGAGTTACGATCATCTTAGTGCTAAGATTGCTTTGTCCAACGGGGCCCTGGTAAGGCAGGAGAAGTTGTGACCTGACAATTAACCTTGTATGACACTGTACGAGGTTTGTTTGTTTGTTGTTTAACGCAACACTCAGCAATATTCCAGCTATATGACGGCGGTCTGTAAATAATCGAGTCTGGACCAGATAATCCAGGGATTGACATCATGAACATCGATCCACGAAATTGGGTTCGATGACATGCATCAACCAAGTCAGCGAGTCTGACCACCCGATACCATTAGTCGCCTCTTACGACAAGCAGAGTCGCCTTTTACGGCAAGCATGGGTTGCTGAAGACCTATTCTACCCCGGATATTCACGGGTCCAATGTATGAGGTCTGTCCACTGACACATGCCATTGTAAAGAAAGGGGTACAGTGGTCCGTGACAAGTAGTACAATGGATATGTGTGTGTCCTGTGTTCTAGTGGCAAGTTCAATAGTACATAATAGTACATGCTGATATGAGATACCCATTGATTTGCATAGATAACAACAATTGAGAAGTATCATGACAATAAAAGGAATTCATTTGGTGTAAGAAAGGAATATTTGTTTGTAAATATCAAATATTTTATACTTCAAATACTAATAGAATTCTGGCATTGACTTGATACACCGACCTCTTAATAGTGTTTTATGAGCAACACATATTGTCCACAGGACCGTAGTCAATTTCATCGTCATGACCTCCACGTGCACAACATGCGTATGTTTTCCCAAATTCTGTGCACTGCCTAACTGTCTCAAACACGTTTTGTGAATTTCTTCTACTAATCCAGGATTACCAGTAATTCTTACAACTAAACTAGCTGTAACGTTCTTGTCTCTTCCTCATTAAGTATGTAACAATATAAAAACTATTCTTAAAATAACATTTCTGCAAAAGGGACTCGATGGCATGTCCACGCACATGAAATAAGAACTAACATGACATGAACAAGATGAGGACAATAAGAGTTGTCTCCCTTGAAAAACGCTCATTCTGAGATACAGACCTGGGTTGGGGGCAGGTGTCCATGTGTTGGGTACCACAGGATGATTGTACTGTGTCGGCGCTGGCTGCTGAGGGGGTGGCTGGTACGCATTCTGCGGGGGTGGTTGATAGGCGTTCTGAGGTGGGTCCTGGGGTGTGGTTGGTGGGGCAAAGGAGCCCGATGACGGAGTGTAGAGACTGTTCTCCATGTTGCCGGAGGTGCTCATGCCCGATGTCCCTGGCTGGGGAGATCCTCCACCAGCAGCTAAGTCTACACAAAGTAATGGCCAGTATTAGTTCAGTTTCACATGTTGCCTTCAGATCCGTCACTTATCTGGCACCTTTTCAGCAGTAGCTAAGTTTACACAGGACAATGGACAGCATATGTCACATGTTGCCTTCAGATACGTCACTTATCTGGCACCTTTCCAGCAGTAGCTAAGTCTACACAGGACAATGGACAGCATATGTCACATGTTGCATTTTCACTTTGGTGAAACCATGAACACAGGTATGTGCTGACATAGTCCTCAAAACATGAAATAGAATCCCGAAATATTGCGATTATTAATTAACTAGGATAGCTGATAGCGTGCTTGTACACAAAAAATGAAGACAAGTCGTTCCGGTGATGAGGAATATTACTTACAGTAAAGTGCGCTTTTCAAGACATATCCATTTTGGTAGCAACATACATCATCAAGTGTTTACAATCACGTATTTACAATCCAGGTAAGCATACGCAGTCAGATAACTGCGAGCACTTATATTTAGCAGGGTGTGCATCTGGAATGTGGTCAACAGTACTTGAAATGCCACATCCACGTTTTCTTCATTCAGTGTGTCCTGGTCATGTACGTATACTGCACATGCTGTTAAATATAGCCCAAATAAAGTCACCTGACAGCTGAAGCTTACCCAGATTGGAACCATGTGACAAAAACTCAACGATGATTATCTCTAGCAAACAAATCGTAAGAACAGCACTTTGCAAGTTTTGTCACTACTGTAAATAATATTCCTTATTGTTGGAATGGCTTGTTTTCACTTTATAAGTATTAGCACATATGCAGCTACCTTCATAAATTAATAATCATGATATTTCGTTTTTCTATTGTGAAGAGGACTTCAGGTTCTACTACACCAAATCAGAATCAGTTGTTGAACAAGCAGTTTTCATAGAGAGACTTCAGTGCAGATTGAATCAGCTGGCAGCAGCGATTGGATGATTTTTTTTTAATGTACATAATTCCAGTAATTAAAACAGACTATGTTTTTCTATATTTAGTGTCGTCTTTTTCAACATGATGACTCATGCTAAATGTGACCACAGATATATTTTCAAGCAAGTGACATTTGATGTTGAACTTGGGGTGGCATGTTTAGCATCCTGTACTTGGAAAAGGAGCTGGCTAAGCTAGTCATTCTTTTTTGATTGCCAATCTAAGGCCAAACTGTGCACACACCTACAGGTAATAGCTGTTGAATGAAAAAAATATAATGTTACTATAGAAGTCTATGGGAAAACATTTGTGTGTAAATTGTAAGATCATTATTGAGGCGATTCTGGCGATGTAAGGGAGGCAACTCTGCACAACTAAGTTGTGGCCGCTGTGACCAATGAGTGTACATGAGGTAGGGGAGACTAGACAGTACGGACAGTGCTACCTTCTTCACCCTCTTCAGCCATTGGGCCGGGTATCGGTGTCTCTCCATTCTTCAGACATCGATGGATGTAGGCAGCCTTCCACTTGGCATACTTCTTGTTCTTCTCAATCTGGTAGAGTTAAAAAAAGGCAATGTATAAGCTGAACTTTCATTAATCATGTCAGTACCAACTGGTGTAGCTTGTATTAAGCTGAAGGAATGGGGTCTGAATATTTCTGAGAATGTTAGCGTGAAAAGAGTAGTTGTATGTGTGTATGATATATGCATGTGAAAGTATGTGTCTGATTGGAATGAACTGTTATGCAAGCCTGGCGGAAGAACGGGTGGTAATAAATTATGTATGTATAAAATGTTTAAAGATGGGTATGGGTGTGAAAGTTATGTAAGTATGTATATGCCTCGTTCTTACCGCTCTGCCTTCTCCAAATTTAGATCAGGTACTGCTCCTCTGAAGTTGGAAACTGGCAGATATATGAATGTGAATGAAAGAGTGTGTTTTCAGTGTAAGGAAAGTATTGAGGATGAATGTCATGTAATGCTGGATTGACCTGTGTACGATGACTTGCGTGAAGTTTATACGAAAAGGTCAGTTTTAGCTATCCCAACTTTCTAGAGTTATGCAATACCGATAAACTTATTGTACTTTTTAAATATTATGTATATTTTACAGCCAAAACCTGCTTATTAGTTCTCCAACGAAGAAAGAATATTTTATATGGCTAGTTACGGGTAGATATTTTCATACCCCTTTTACACCAATATATTTATGCTGTACATACTGTGATATATTTTAAGTCTCTCGTAACCCTTAACGGCTCACTTTTATGTCCTTTTTTATATGTATCCATGTGAATATTTTTGTGAGGTGAGACTCAAATAAACAATCTGTCTGTCTGTCTGTCTGTATTAGAGGTGTCATTCGTGGGCTGATAGTTGGATCAATTGTTACCACCCTCCCTTGTATGATAACATGAAGACTTAACATGCTTAAACAAAGGACATAAACAATTGCTGACAAGAGCTGTCAAAATTCACACGAGTTATAGAGTGACTTAGGTTCAGCTGACGTCAACGTTGTTTCAAACACCAGTAATTTGAGAAAAATATGTTGGCAATAACCGATTCTGTGAGGACAAAGAACCACATGATAAACCGTTTTCTGTAAACATGGTAACAGTCCATTTTTGTGTAACAAATATATTATGGTGATACTGTGACTTCATTTCCATGATATGAAATGTATTGTAAAAACCATCATGGCCTTATACAACTTACGTCTTCCGAGAGCTCTCCAAACACTGTGAGCACATCAAACAACATACCGGCGGTGTAGAAGGACTTTACTACATTTCTGAAAATCAATCAATATGGCTTAATCAATTTTTTTTATTTTATTCATTTGATCAACATTATTCAGTTATAATAACACAGTATTTATGTAAGTCCCTTTAATGTAAATTGAACTTTCTGCCTTCTTAGCCATGGTAATCATGAGAAATGTTCTGTGGCAGTGAATTATTAATTTACCATCGATATTCATAAATTTGTATAGGTAGTGTATAGATGTTAAAATGTATTGATACACTGATATCGTGACATACGATGACATCCCTATGCTAAAGCGTTCAACATGTTCAAGAATCCCTTGAAAACATGACATCTAATTCTAATCATGCTAACAAGGGAGATAACCCTGCAAGACTGGTCAACATGCCCCATTATTGGTACAACTTTATATACATAAAACACAACACTGTTTAACATAAACAAGGCATTAAAATGAAAAAGTTGCATTTGTGATTACCTAATCAAACAAACGTACCATTTTAGTAAAATCTAAATATTTTTTTACATTTGTATACTTATCCTGTATTACCCCTTACATTCACTGCTTACCTTACGACAAGAAAAAGACAGCTTACGGCTATGGTCTTGGGTGAAGAAATAAAGTTGTTTCAAAGTGGCATTCCTGCTTTTTATACGGACCATTGCTGCTGTCATGTGACCTTGATGACAAGCTACCTTTCAAGTGTTTCTTGGTATGCAAACGTAGGCTAGGAATTGTGGTGATGCAGTTGTGGGATCTTGGTTCTTTGCCTTGCAAAAAGTCTCAAACAATCTCCACTTGTCATCGCATAATCCTCTGGTTGAGGGACGATTAGCTAAAACTATAGCTTTAGCTGCCCGTGCTGAATAGCCCTTCGCACTTAACGCCTTTATAAGACGAACCAAGCGTGCAGACGAAACTGGTCTGGCATTGGGTGAGCCGATTTGCTGTGAGGGTGAATGAGTCGATTGGACCACTGTGGAAGAGGTAGTGGATCGTAGTGGATCACCTTGGGAAGTAGAACAGGTGGCGTGAAAGCAAATGCTTTTAGCCCATCCCAAGGGATGCTGAATGCATCCACCACCTATGCCTGCGGATACCGTAATGGGGAGACATACCTCATAAGTTGATGGTTTTGGCAAATAGGTCGATGTTTGGTTGCCCGAACTTCAGAAGCAGTAACTGAAATGCTTTTGTGTGAAGTTTCCACTCGGTGGGAGCAACCCTGTCTGGGCACAATAATGCATCGGCCAGTATGTTCTGACATACGGGGATGTGCTGAACTATGAACTCAGAGCTCCAGATAAGCTTTTGGTGTTGTGGGTATTTTACCCATGCATTTTAAAATCATTGGGTATCAGTAATTCTATCTGGGTATTCAAATTTCTGTTACCCACTAGTTTTTACACATGTGGGTATTTAAGTTAAATATTTAAAAACACTATTCATCTAGTCCCTGCAAACTGGTGTCGTGTGGGTTCGAGAGCTTTATAGGACTCAAAAATACCACGATACTTCCACAAGAAAGTGTGATGGCAAATGATCATGATATAACGGTCATCGTGGAGTTTGGCAAGGTTGACGGTATGCCCGTTTATAATTTCAAAATAAGTTGCTGATTTGCTAAACGTATACGCAGGGCTACTTCACAATATTTTGATGATACGCACAAGTTTTATTTTTGTAGCGTATCTGTAATGTTCGCTGCATATTTGATACACTTGGATTATATTTTACTGCTTATTTCTGCATTTCTGATGCGTATTTTACGCAGATACGCAGCTTATCTGGAGCTCTGGAACTGTAGTTCCAGACGATCAACTAGATGGAAGAACATGCATGTCTGTTGAAGAAAGGAGTGGGAGTGCGTTGTATCTTGACTGCACAGAGCTGTTGTCTGTGGATATTGCGAGTTGCGTGGACTGTAGCTGTATCTACCAATGAGAGATGGCCAGAATTGTCACTTCCAACTGCAGATTGTTTATGTGCCAATTTCAATGAGCACCGGACCATAGCCCTGAGGCTGTCTGGCCTTGCAGGCAAGCAACCCACCCCTGAAGGGAGGTGTCTACAAACAGGTGTAATTTTGGGATAACCCAAATAAAGAGACTCCTCCCAAGTCCACCAATTGAGGTAAGGCCTTTGAGGGACCGGTAAAGTGATGGCCTTGAGTGGATCCTGACGCCTGATGTAAGGTTTCAGGAATCGTTGGATTGGGCACAGTTGTAATCAGCCTCTGCTGGTTAAGTCCTGTGCCGAAGTGAGTAACCCCAACAACACTTGCCATTGGTGAAGCATGCATGGTTGGTGTAGTTCAGGTGACAAGAGGCATAAAATCTTTAGCCATCTGTCCCTCGGTACTGATAGGAGATCGTGGTCTGTCTGGAACAGGCCTCCTGTGACCAGGGCCCACTTGCACAAAGCGATCTTAGCGCTACAACTATTGTAAGCCTATGTTAAAGTATGGGAGTTACGATCATCTTAGCGCTAAGATCGCTTTGTGCAAATGGGCCCAGGAGCTGATAAGATGGAGTTAACTCTGAATTAGCCTCGTTGATTAGCCATCCAAGTTGATACAGCAGCCGTCAGATAAACTCAGGATGGCGTACTTATGTGGGTATGTGTTGATGACACAGGAGACAGTCGTCTATGTACGGCTCGAATCAAAAGTTCCTCAGGTGAAGAAACATGGTTATTGGCTTCATTATTAAATGAAATGCCAAATGGGAGAACTGCTCATTGGAAGTGAACTCCACTGAACTGGAACCTTCGGTTGGAGGGATGGATAGGTATATGCATGTAGGCATCCCGCAAGTGGAGACTGATCAAGGAAATATTGTTGATCATTCTCATCTTGTCCGATTTTTTCTTGGGTACCAGGATAACCGGAACCGTGACGGAGTACGTTGAGTACGTGATCGTCTTTGAGAATGGTCCGTTTTTTCAAAAACAGATTCAGTCTCCCGCCTACGGGGGAATTGACAATTGGGACGACTGGGGGCGGGAGATCCCAGGCGTGACTGTCCATCACTTCAGTGTTTACCCCTTTTATCACCTCCCCTGCCTTGGTATTTACCACGACTGGACTGATAAGAACCTTGAGGTTTCCCTTTGCCTCTGCCTTTCCCATGAAAGGAATCCTGGTCTTGGCCTTCCTTGAGAGACATGCGTCTAGGCTTATAATTGTCTGATCTGCCAGCCCGCTGGAATAGACTATACGAGACGTGCTCTAGACCCTTGAATGTGCATGATACAGGGACTTTGAAACAACATTATTTCTTCACCAAAGACCACCGCTGAACGCTGTCCTTTTGTTGTCGTAAGGTTAGCAGTGAATGCATTAAGGAGTAATGCAGGATAAGTAAAAAATATCTTCTTTATTAACACAAACATTCTCATTTTCCAAGCAGATAATTCATTCAAGTTTTCCACAACACAGTACACACCATTTCATTTTCACTAGGGGCGGTTGGGTAGCCTAGTGGTTAAAGCGTTCGCTCGTAACGCTGAAGACCCGGGTTCGATTACCTACATGGGTACAATGTGTGAAGCCCATTTCTGGTGTCCCCCGCCGTAATATTGCTGGAATATTGCTAAAAGCGGTGTAAAACTATACTCACTCACTCATTTTCACTACCTCCAGTCTTCTTCAAGCAACATGTTTAAATCTTTTGTTGGGTTTACAGAATCATATGAAATAGTTTGAATTTACATTTAGTTGCCCTACCATTTTACTGTAAACTTTAGACATGTAATGAAAAGAAAAGTGAACTTTGACAGTCGTGAATACATACATTTGTTGCTGTTAAAATAACTAACATCCTGCACTTTACATGCTATATACAATATATACAGTGCTAAAAAAACACAACTTTGACTGTTTTAGCATTTATATTTTCTCAACAGCCAGATCCAAACAACTTATAGACAAATATATAAAAACTACAGTGTTGATCCAATTTATTTTAATTCATTCTACCCAAGCTCACATGTAAGTGAAAACACAAACAAAAAACAGAGTGTGGAATCTTTGAACACATGCATTAAGTACATTGGAAGCATACAGTTTCATGAGAGAGTGGTAGCCTGTATTAACTTACTTGTTGAATCTAGCAGCTCTGTCCTCATTGTCAGCAAACAGGAAGACTTTGAGAGCATAGTTCTCCATGTGAGCCTGCCCAACCACCTCGCTCTGTATAGCATCAGCCTCATACAGCTCCTTCTTGGCCTGTACAAATGTATGTTTACAAATTTACAATCACGATTCAGGAGCAATGACCACCTTGCTCTGTATAGCATCATCCTCATACAGCAGTAAATTTTTAACTTGAAGTTTACACATTATACAGCTATTCCATTGGATGAGAGGCCAGTCACATGATCGTGAAACTGACATTCAAAAGTGTATGAAGGACACATTTTGGCGTTCATACCTTTTTCATGAGACTGTATTCCTGAAATGAGGTAAACACTGACGGACTACTTCCACATTCCTGGGGGAAACCCCGGGGAATTCCCTTCCACAAAAACATGCAGAAGCGTTGTTTCTGATCATGTAGACCCTTTAATCTTGAACTCAGTGGTTTAAATTACATTGAGAAACCTCAAATAGTTTGACTGCACGATTGTTCACAAATATCCTCGCTACGACCCATCCTTTTGAACAAAGAAATGCACATCCAAACTATCGTTGTATCGACTCAATCCATATTTAGACTGACAGTGACAGTCTACAGCAATCTATAAATTTACCTTGGTATCTATTTAACACATCTTCAATGACTTGACAATTAATCAATGATGAGCAACACATGTAACCACCAAAGGTTCTTTAACTACATCTCTCCTGTCACGTTTATCGTGTCAGCCATTTTGATGTTTTGTATTTGATGCAAATGTATTACAATGCGCTGTCATTGAAACTGAATTACTGAGGTAGTTCTCAACACACCTTTTTCATCTAATGATGACATTATTTTGAATACATTTATTGTAAACAAATAGCAAAAGTTGTTCGTGTAGAGCAAGTTGAGCATACATACACTCATGTCACCTCTTGTTTTTAAGAAACTATTTTATTCCGTGATACAGCTTGTTGTTGTATGGCTGTCAGAGTAAACATGAAGTAACGCATACTAAATAAAATTATGTATAGATAATGGGCTACAACCTTCGAGGTACAATATAGTGACATGAGTCAGGGTTAGAAACTAACAGTTTTTGTCCACTAGTCCTTATAATGATATCATATAGCAAAACCCTTAAAATGGGCCAATTTCTACTAGTCCTTAGGATACCTTTACTATTGGGCAGTTTGGTAAGGACTACAGGACTAGTGCCAGCAAATCGCGGCGCCTTAGACGACTGGGCCATCCATGCCCCCTATAGTGACATGATGTTTGGTGACAGTTTGGTCCTCACCTGCTCACTCTATAAAGGTTCACACTTCAATGAACTCACATGAAGTGAAAGTCAATTATTAATTAAACAAGTTTACAAGCAGGACTCAGGAGGTGAAATGAAATGGGGTTTAACGTCGCGTCCAAGATTATTTCACTTATATAGCAACGTGCATGCATGCGTGTGTGTGTGGCTGTTTGTACTAGTCCGGACTGATGCCGATTTATAGTGCCAGCCCACTGAGATACCATGCTGCGGTTTAACATGAATACCCCACTCAGACACAGTATACTGACTCCGAGCCGAACAGTCCTTTTTTTTAGCCCCTTAATGTCGAGTCCCAGACAGGGTAACAACAAGTACCATCTTTTATTAGTTTTAATGTCTTTCGGTATAACGCGGCCGGGGATCGAACCCCGGACCTTCTGTTCTCCGGGCGGACGCTCTACCACTAAACCACGGAGATGGTCAGGACTCAGGAGGAATGGCCGCCTTGCTCCGTGAAGCATCAGCCTCATCATGTATGCATGTATGCTCAAAAATAAGTGATCTGATTTGAGTACAGTAGAACATGGATACAACGAACTACAAGGGACCAGAGAAATCAGTTTGTTATATCCATTGTTCGTTATATATCTTTTCGCTCGGAAACGTCCGCCATCTTGGATAGAACAAAACATTGCAGCATTGACTTGTATTAGCACACTCTCCTACCCAGAGTTCCATGCGGCCAGCAGCCAGCTAGCATAGTACCTCTGCCACAGGCCAGCGCCATGTGACGATTCGTCACATCTTTCACAGTCCATTCAAGATATTGCATATGCTTTTCATCCGTTTCATGTTTGACAAGTCTACACATTTTCATAAACAAATGTCAAAGAATGGTTAACTTCCATTGAGAGAGTATGCAAATACGTAAAAATCTACTTGTTTTTGCGTAGTTATCCTATGTTTACATTGGTTGTAGGGCTCCACGTGCTGTCATCGAAGCCCAACGGAGAGCTAGTGACACGGTCACTTTGATGCATAAATATATATTGTCATGCAACTCACTGTCGCAGTTGTAGTAGCATATCTATATAGTTATGCAAAACAATATGTAAAGCGCCCCCAAATACTAGTACATTCTATACTGATTTCTGAAAAAGCGCGTCTGTTTACAAACAAGAGAAAAGTCCGATCACGTGATATGCAAATTAGCCTGTGGCAGTAGTGTTATGCTGAGTCACCACTGCGACGGAGTGTTATTAGCAGTGATCACTTCATAGCATTCAATAGATAACCTTTCATAACATTCATTTAGGTTTAACAAGTTTGATCCGTCACCGCTGATTGCGTACAGCCAGTGACACTCGACACTGAGTGAGATTTCCTAGTTCGATATACACGTCACTAATTAGTGGTAGATGTGCTTGTCGGTGTTCAGATATCAGTTCGTTGTATCCGTTTGTTCGCTCTATCCGTGTTCTACTGTATGTGTACCAGTATGTCAACTATGTATGTTACAACAAATTTGTAAAAGGTAGAAAGGCATGATACAAAGTTACACAGCATGGTGTATGCCCAAGGGTGTTTGGCTACTTGTACTAGTGCGGATAAATGCAGGTCTTATACAGTGTTAGCCCACTTAGATAGAGATACAATGCTGCAGTTTTAACATAGACACCCCACTTAGACACACTATACTGACTCCGAGCCAACAAGTTCTTGTTCTATCCCCATAATGCCGAGTGTGATGCACTGCAATTTTGGTATGACATGGCCGGGCATCAAACTACTGACCATCCGCTCTCAGGAGAGACGCTCTTTCTGCTAGACAACTGAGGCAGTCTGCTTGTAATGAAGAAAACAAGTATACACGGTATAACCATTTCTCACCTTTTCAAGATAGTCCATCATTGTGACCAGGAAAGTCCGACAATCTGGGGACTTCATATCAATCTCCATTCCTTTCTGCATGGCATACAGCCGACCTGTGAGGAGAAAGAGGCCCAAATGGTGAGAGTGAAGAAACAAACATGCCTGAAAAATGTAGTACTACCATGGTGGAGATACAACAATATAGTGATGGCAGATAGCATCCACTCAACCTAAAATCTAGCCCTTGTACCAAAAGTCACCTGGTCCCAGAAGCAGAAAATCATTATTTATGTAAGCTGCTACTGACATTTGAGGAATCATTTACTAATTCTGATTGGTAAAAGGTAAATATTGACTATGAAGATGTACAGGCTGAAAATTCTTTTGGAAGCCCCCTCATCCTTGACCTCCTACCAAAATTATGTTCAGGTCTGAAATTAGAATTTGTCAGATCTCAATCATTTATTTCTTTAAACAGTAATTTTGTCACAATCCTACTGTGACCAAGAAATACTTTATGTGAAAATAATTAAATTTGCATTCGGTCCCTACTGCTCATGTTCGTAACATCATATTATCAGACTGACTAAATTTCTGATTGGCCATGTTTTATTCAAGGTTTATACAGATATGGAACACTAAAATTCAAGGTTATTTACAGCAACCACGGTCAGATTACCGATATTGACGCTTTGAAATGAACTTTAGTTGACAGAGAATGGATACATATATATTATAAATGCCACATTCTGACTCAAATTTGTTGTAGTTTGACTATGTCAAAATGTTGTTTTCACAAATCTGTGGGAGGTCTCAACAGTGACGGAACAAATTGTTCCAACATAAAAGCAATCAGCTGTTCCAAAGTTTCAAAAACAATTATTCCGATCATTGTATAAAAACTCTTTGAAGTTATATTATTGTGTATTTTTTAAAAGAATCACAGGTAAAAAGGGAGAAAATGTGATTGTTATTTCTGGCTTAGTTAAGTTTACGAGAAAATATACACGATAATCTTAATTTCAACATATAAAAACAATGCCTAGGAATTTAAATGGTAAACATCATGACTACCGATATATTATCTCCACTTTCACATTCTTACTTACAATTGAAGTTTGTTATCATGGTTATCACCTGTTGTTACCGTGCATAATATGATGTTGACTGATAGTGCTTGGTAACATGGTGCAAGTCGCATTTACACTTATCACCAACAAAAACATGTCAGTCTGACTGTATCTCTGTATATTATATCCTTTTTCATGATATCCGGTCTCAAGTTGTAATATCCGGCAAGTAGTTTCTCGAAAATATCTGGTTGGCAAATTCTGTAATGTTCGGTTTGCACTTTTTGTATCCGAAACTCTGAATAGCTCAACCATATCAACATAAACATGATAAATAGGTGATACAAATATATGCATAGCTTAACACTCTAGTGATTTATTTGTTGTTTTAGAGACGGTGGTCAGTAAATACTCGAGTATGGACCAGACAATCCAGTGATTGACCATGTTGACATCATGATCAATCGTGAAGGGACTAATTTTGTCCATAAACATCATAATATATATCCATCCATCCTTACTACACATCCAACACAATGCTTATTCACGTATATTCTTGCTTCACTAACATGACACTTGTCATGTATCTCTAGGCCAACTGTCAAGACGTTCAGAACACTAGATCTAAACAGAAACACATTCGTGAACGTTTTTGAAAAGTCGAACTTGTAACTCTGTACATACAATCAGCAAAAGTGAGGTGAGTGAACAATTCGATGGCTCATACCCTTCCAAAACCCCACCCTCAATAAATAAAACAGTGAAATGTATTAAGATCATCGTGATCATGAATCATACCTAAAACAACCAGTTCGTACCAACCTGTCAAACGAGTTTATCGACTCATGAAAGACATTTAGTTTCATGTCGACGACACAATATACTCACAATAGTAAGCGACAATAGGGTCTCTTTTGTCATGTTCTGTAGCTGTCTTCATATAATGTTGAATCGCTTTTAGATTCGGAGGAATCGCTGGCAACCCTGCCGCAGCCATTTTGATGTTTTGCAAACGGTAGCAGTACTAATTCCGGGTTATACTAAAAGACGGACAGTAATAATTGATAAACTTTTCGATGCAGCATTTGTTGTACTGACATGATAATACGTTACACTTAAACCATAATATATAATTAACTACAGAATATGAGAATGTGGCCCCATTCAACTTAAATACGTCAATCTTATGAAGCCACGAATATTGGATTAGCTTGGTAACTGTGAGTCCGGATACACCGCTCAATATCCACACATCGTTCAAATGAAGCTCCACACAGGGCCTCAAAGGTAGCGCCCTTCTCTTGGCAAAGATTCTATAATAATGAAATTTACATCTTGATTTAATATAGAGAGGTCAATTTCTCCCATTGGACAAAAATAAGCAAAGCAAATGTAAGTTTAAATATATAAATATATATATATATATACGCTGCATTTGACAATTTGAAACAATGTTGGACACATGGAGAATATTTTATGTTATCTGTTTAAGACATAATCGTTGATATGTTCCAGTTGGTATAACGAAGACGACATATTCACTAATATTATTTCATCAATTTTGTTGATACCCTCAAACCTTCATATTCAGATATAAGCCATAAAAACCGAACGATTTAATTTTCCTGAAAGCTATCTCTTCATCTGAATTACCATCTGCGACCCACGTGAAAACTACTTGCTTTTCTCATCTGCGGTGGGTACCCCAGGGCATACTGTCACGTGACAAGGGTAGGCGAAGTAGCAATTACGCTCCGAGCAATAATATTTTATGTCGACATTTAACGAAAGGAACACCCAACACTGAGTTACTACTGACTTAATTTAGAAGTGTAAGTATTTCTTTTTTTTTTTTTTTTTTAACAATGATATTTTTTTTCATTTCTAAGGATCATGGTGACATGATTAAAAACTTTTGAACATCTCATTTTAAAAAAATCTCGCCAGGTGTAATGAAAAGAAGGTGCGTTATGTATCCTTCAATGATTCGTTGGAAGCTGAGATACCCGAGCCCTGTGTCCATTAACTCTTGTTAATGCTGCATCAGCCCTAACTGTACTCGCATATTTGCATGAACAAAACCTTCTTGTGTTTGTAAATCCTAACTCAATCATGTCATGCCAATAACCCATTCAACTACATCTTCAACACATTGTTTTAATTAATAATATTCAAACAACGATTAATTTTCTATCCAAACTACTCTAAAACTATACCCACACATATGTGTTCACCTACACACCCACATCATCGATGGCGCAGCATTTCCTGCCTGCAGTATCTTGACTTCCTTTATTATGACAGGTGACTGATTGATTGACGGCTAATTAATCACTTATCACCGAACCACCCTGGTCATCACTCGCGGTTCATTGAGAGAACAGTCGTGTAGGGATACATTACTTGGAGGATGTACATACAGACATGAAGTTATTCACGGAGTATCCAACTTAGTACAAGCAAACAATGGATTGACGGACGGAAAGTCGGTGGAATTAATATGAATATTTTTTATGTACTATTCATCTTTTGGATTTATATATTCCTAGGTATGTACTTCCTTGTCATGAACTTCCTATTTTAGCAAATATCTAATTTCCGTTTTAGGTGTGTCAGACAAATCTTTAGAAATTAAGTAGGGTCACAAATATGTGTATTTTGATGTTTCTTCGTACCGGGTGTATCTTTTACGTTCAGACAGAAATTCAGCATCGAACTTCCAGAATTAAAACTACTTTCATTCTGTAAACTTGTTTTTTGGGGTTACCACCTGCTGTTTAGACGCTCTATATATGTTTTATCAAATAAAAAGATAATGATTCTGCAATATGTTTTAATATCTGCCATTGGGTTCTATGTTGGCATAATCGTATTCTTGTTATACTCTATATAGCCATATTTAAAGTATCGAAGTAAAATCTCAAGAGAGACACCCACAATATCGCCAAGTTTTGTTGGCGGACACTCTCATTAGTCTGTTAACACAAATGTCACTGATTGACATTCATGCTTTATATTTTATGACAATATCACCAACACTAACCCGTTTTGGTACAATATCAGAAATATCAAAATAAATAACGTTGTTAATCATAAAATGAGATCATATTATGTTGGCGTCAGTGCGGCAATTGGTGAAAAAGTAAAACTAAACAAGAGTGAAAAAAGGTGCATGTTTTGATTACCTCGAAGTATCAACTGTCTGATTGGCATTTTCATAAGTTTGTTAGTAATAGTAAAGACAAGATAGTAATATGAAGGACAACTTATTTATTCTATTATGATGAGACGTTTCGGTATAGATCCTCATACGTCGCGTCATAATAGAGTAAAGAAGATGTCATCCTCAGAACAATCTCGCTTTTCTGAATAAAACATTGGCTGCGTTTTGGTAGCCTGACCATTAATATGTTTAAAAAGTGTACACACAATATAAGAGGTGAAATGTGAAATGGGGTTATCGTCGCGTCCAAGATTATAGCACTGATACAGCGAATTAGAATTTAAGAACAGACAGGAAAAGTTACACGAAAAGCAACGACTCTTTTTTTTGACAGATGTTGAAGCCGCTATTTTAGAGAAGACGGCAAGCGTGTGCAATGGGGAGTGTTCTAATCTGTTGATGCAATGCCCACCGGCTCACAAGATCGCCATTAGAGAAGCGCTGTATGGAGTTCACGCCGTGAGTTCCCCCTGCCCGTATTCATTTTCGTGTGAAGATGCATGGAAGGACGTGTGTTGTGACATGGCCGCTGGCAGAGACTGTTTGTTCCCGTACCCACTGGACCACCTGGAGACGTTCCACCGAGACTGTTCGGGAAATATACAGTGTACTATTAAAACAGACCAGAAGCCCGAGGCATCACCAGCCTGTTCACCAGTAGAACACCGAAATGTCTCAAGCTACTCTCTCATTGACTATGTCTGTGTTAATGGTACGTATAGGTTTGCTTCTATATAAAATGGCAGAGGTGTAGCCTAGTAGTTAAAGCGGTTGCTCGTCACGCCGAAAACCCGGGTTCGATTTCCCAAATTGGTACAACGTCTTAATCTTTATGTATTTCTATATGTAGTACTGACATTTTAGAAAATAATATGTCTCATGTGTTCATGTTAATTTTCATATGGTGATAACCTTACCACATCGATGGATTCTTTAGGGCAAATAGTAAATCTGTCAAGAATGGCACGTAACTGTCCGTGCATTTCTATGTCACCCCAGATAGCGCTTTAGCCCTACACCCTTCCCTCACCCCAATTCACCCAATGTCTAGATCTTTCAATTAGTGCCCTGATAGCATCTGTTTGCATTGTTTCTGTGTAATATATTATGGTACTCATCAGTTGTTAGATCATAGTTTAAGATTCTTTATAAGTTTTATTTGAAATACTTAAACTGAATTCTTAGTTGCACTCGTTCCACTCTAAGTTCTCTTGATGAACTATTGTTTAATGTGTTTCATTATGAGATATTACGAATTGTTTTAGATGACAATAGTGTTGTGTTTATATTTTTCCAGACACTTTTACTGCCGACATGTGTAGTCCCCTCAGTGTATCAATCAGGGGAAGAACTCTTTTCGCCATGTTCGACGCCAGGCGGGAAGTACCTCCACCACCTGGGTCAGTCTGCGCCTGCGCAGCGACACCTACTTCCTGGTCAGGAAAGGGGAGAGTATCAGCATTTGTAGTTGACATGAGACTCAACAAGCCTAGCTCCACCTGGTGTTCGGATTCAGAATTACTGATGGAAGCTCAACCAAAAATACACGAGATCACATGCCTCGCAAGCCACGACCCATATTTTCCTTATCCTTTCGTCTCCATCCTTAACTCTACCAACGGCGCCATTTCCCGCTTGGTGATCAATGAGATTCCACCCGAGTTTGTGTGGATAGGATTTGAAGGTACTTACATTGAGCGAGCTGCAGTAGTGCCCCCTTTGATAGTACGGACCTCCTAATTCTGACCATTTCTTGTCTGTGGAAGTTATTAAACTAAGTGCCAAAAGTGAAAAAGTGAATAAGAAAGTATACTCTTGAAAATTTGATTGGACATAAAATCTACGAACATTAACAAAACGTTACTGGACCGAAAACAGTCGCAGAAACTGAACCATCGAATAACCAATTCTTGTTTGTTTCATTTTAGCAACCATCAAACAAAGGTGTTTACTTTCATTTGTCTGGCCGTTTAATTCTTTGCTCAGTTTTATCACATGTTTCGTGTGTCAGGCACCAGTTACTCGCAATAACTGAAATTCACTGCGGCTGGAATTAGGTAATACAGTAAACCACATTCATGACGAACATGCTTATAACGAACTGACGGATATGACGAAGTTATTTTTTTGGTCCCGACTATTTGCTGTATATATACCGTACATATGCTTATAACGAACTACGGTTATACCGAACTAAAATTAGTGGCCCATTTGAGTTCGATATAACCGTAGTTTACTGTATTTAGTTTATGTTTCGTGTTGCTCCAAGGTTAAAGTTCGGACAGCCGGTCAGGAAAAGCCGTATATCGTGTAAACTTCAAATTAAAACATTATATGTAAATAACCCAAACACGAACTTAAACTATACAGTTTGACCAAGAATCATTTCATGTTTAAAGCAGTGACCCAAATAACGGGTTAACACAAGGGCAGATATCATCGTTGTAAGAGATTATTATTAACTATTCAATTTTTACTGTTTTGGCTGAAAAGTATTCCCAACATATATTAAGTCGACATAAACTGTTAAACACGGCTACTTTTGATCAGGCAATTACGATCCGACTAATTATGTCATAGATGGTGTTTCCGATACTATAACCCACCTTTTTCGCCTTGTCCAGACTCTTTCAACTGAAGGGGCTGTCGGGAAGCCTAGTGGTTAAAGCGTTCGCTCGTCACGCCGAGGACCCGGGTTCGAATCTCGACATGGGTACAATGTGTAAAGCCCATTTCTGGTACCCGCCGTGATATTGCTGGAATATTGCTTAAAGCGGCGTAAAAGCATACTCACTCACACTCACTATCAACTGAACTTAAATAGTTCTGACTGCGGCGTTACACAACATCCACTCACCCACTTTGTAGTTAAGATAACCGGTAATTTATTCCCCCCAGCTAGTAAAGATGAGGAAGTGCAGCTGACCTGTGGTCTACAACCTTCACCTACGACAACTAGCGCACCCCCAGGTATGTAACACCGTCTAGATAGGACATGCAACATGGCCTACGGGGACATGTGGACAACATCATGACTATGTATAGCTGAATACCTGTGTCAGTCAAAGAAGCTGCCAGCCCATCCCGCCCGGAAGATAGGGCCCGCTGGAAACAGCCGCGCTCGTTATTTGCTTTAAACATACAGCAGATTGTAGCAGTTTTTTACTTGTTTATTGTGCATCTGCAGGGGCTAGGCATTTCTATTTTCAGTAAAAAGAACTCCAGACGATACAAACTATATTAATATATCCTCGGAATCTCCTTTTTGTATTATGTTATATTTTCTCTGTTTGATCCCTTTGTTGACGCTTGTAACTAAGGACGCTGTTGTTAAGGAGGTGCATGTTTTCGAATTTCCCGATTGGAGAAATGTCAGAATAAAAGTCATAATTGTTTTTTTAAACATATATCTGTCCCTGATGAGGCTGAAAATAATAATTTGTCCTCAGGTATAAAAAGGAAAGAATTTAAATCTTTCCCTGTGTTTATGCAGGCTGTACTGAAATTAATGTGTTGCTTTAATAATAAAGTGTTTGGCCCCTGCTTAATTTTCAGTGAAGAAAAGTTCTATTTCTTGAAGTGATGGCTGAAAAATATATTGTGTCGCAACTAAACAACGTTAGCTACATTTCAAATAATTCTGATGGACTTACTTACCTCTAACGACCATTCTGAGAAACACATGAAGATGAAGATGATGTTTAATCTTTAATCACTTGCTGGTATTGTTCCAGCCATGGTCGTCCCCAAAGAAAAGTGGCCCAACAACGTCCAGCCTAAAGTTATAGACCCACCACAGCGTCAGCCGGAACGCAGAAAAGGTAAAACCTAGGTTACGGCGCTGAATCTTCACATGAAAGACGGTAGGGTAGCTTGGTGGTTAAAGCGGTGGCTCGTCACATCGAGGGGCGTTGGGATAGCCTGGTTGTTAAAGCGTTGGCTCGACACATCGAGGGGCGATGGGATAGCCTGGTGGTTATAGCAGTGGCTCGTCACATCGAGGGGCGATGGGATAGCCTGGTGGTTAAAGCGGTGGCTCGTCACATCGAGGGGCGGTGGGATAGCCTGGTGGTTAAAGCGGTGGTTCGTCACAACGAGGGGAGGTGGAGTAGCCTGGAGATTATAGCGGTGGGATAGCCTGGTGGTTAAAGCAGTGGCTCGTCACATCGAGGGGCGGTGGGGTAGCCTGGTGGTTAAAGCGGTGGTTCGTCACAACGAGGGGAGGTGGAGTAGCCTGGAGATTATAGCGGTGGGATAGCCTGGTGGTTAAAGCGGTGGCTCGTCACATCGAGGGGAGGTGGAGTAGCCTGGAGATTATAGCGGTGGGATAGCCTGTTGGTTAAAGCGGTTGCTCGTCACATCGAGGGGAGGTGGGGTAGCCTGTTGGTTATAGCAGTGGCTCGTCACACCGAGGGGCGGTGAAGCAGTCTGGAGGTTATAGCGGTGGCTCGTCACATCGAGGGGCTGTGGGGTAGCCTGTTGGTTATAGCAGTGGCTCGTCACATCGAGGGGCGTAGGGGTAGCCTTGTGGTTATAGCAGTGGCTCGTCACTCCGAGGGGCAATGGGATAGCCTGTTGGTTAAAGCGGTGGCTCGTCACATCGAGGGGCGGTGGGGTAGCCTGTTGGTTATAGCAGTGGCTCGTCACACCGAGGGGAGGTGAAATAGCCTGGAGGTTAAAGCGGTGGCTCGTCACATCGAGGGGCGATGGGGTGGCCTTGTGGTTATAGCAGTGGCTCGTCACATCGAGGGGCGGTGGAATAGCCTGGAGGTTAAAGCTGTGGCTCGTCACATCGAGGGGCGGTGGGATAGCCTGGTGGTTACAGTGCTGAATCTCCACATGAAGGACGGTGGGATAGCCAGGAGGTTATAGCAGTGGCTCGTCACACCGAGGGGAGGTGGAGTGGCTTGGAGGTTATAGCGGTGGCTCGTCACACCGAGGGGCGATGGGTTAGCCTTGTGGTTATAGCGGTGGCTCGTCACATCGAGGGGCGGTGGGGAAGCCTTGTGGTTAAAGCGGTGGCTCGTCATATCGAGGGGCGGTGAAGTAGCCTGGAGGTTATAGCTGTGGCTCGTCATATCGAGGGGCGGTGAAGTAGCCTGGAGGTTATAGCGGTAGCTCGTCACATCGAGGGGCGGTGAAGTAGCCTGGTTGTTATAGCTGTGGCTCGTCACATCGAGGGGCGGTGGGGTAGCCTTGTGGTTATAGCAGTGGCTCGTCACATCGAGGGGCGGTGGAATAGCCTTGTGGTTATAGCAGTGGCTCGTCACATCGAGGGGCGGTGGAATAGCCTGGAGGTTAAAGCTGTGGCTCGTCACATCGAGGGGCGGTGGGATAGCCTGGAGGTTAAAGCTGTGGATCGTCACATCGAGGGGCGGTGGGATAGCCTGGTGGTTACAGTGCTGAATCTCCACATGAAGGACGGTGGGATAGCCAGGAGGTTATAGCAGTGGCTCGTCACACCGAGGGGAGGTGGAGTGGCTTGGAGGTTATAGCGGTGGCTCGTCACACCGAGGGGCGATGGGGTAGCCTTGTGGTTATAGCGGTGGCTCGTCACATCGAGGGGCGGTGGGGAAGCCTTGTGGTTAAAGCGGTGGCTCGTCATATCGAGGGGCGGTGAAGCAGCCTGGAGGTTATAGCTGTGGCTCGTCATATCGAGGGGCGGTGAAGTAGCCTGGAGGTCATAGCGGTAGCTCGTCATATCGAGGGGCGGTGAAGTAGCCTGGTGGTTATAGCTGTGGCTCGTCATATCGAGGGGCGGTGAAGTAGCCTGGTGGTTATAGCGCTGGCTCGTCATATCGAGGGGCGGTGAAGTAGCCTGGTGGTTATAGCTGTGGTTCGTCATATCGAGGGGCGGTGGGGGTAGCCCGGAGGTTAAAGCGGTGGCTCGTCATATCGAGTGGAGGTGGGGTAGCCTGGTGGTTATAGCGGTGGCTCGTCACATCATTAATAATAAACGGGCCACCTGTTTATAATGACCACCTGACCATCTGTATCACTATTTAATAACCATATATGTATATGGGGGCACGGGTGGCCCAGTCGTCTGAGGCGCCGCGATTCGCTGTGCAGAGTTGTGTCCCTGGGACACGCCAGAAATCTATGATTGTGGGTTCGAATCCCGGTTCGTCCCCGATTATGTTTCTAGGTTTGTCAGCACCATACCCGTGCTCGTGGGTTTCACCGAAGCGGTAAACGTCTGAGACCTGCATCACTTCGGGCTTTCCTCTCACATTAAGCTGAAACGTCGTGAAATAACTGGAATAATGTTAAAAGCGGCGTAAAACCCAACTCACTCACTCACTCATATATGTATATAATGACAACTGTATATATATGTTTATATATAATGGACACCTGTGTATTCTGACCAACTATTTATGTATTGTGTTTCAGCTGTACCGACAGCAGTGGCGTTAGCATGCGGCATCATCGGCGGGGTGCTCATCATCGGCATAGGCGTCCTCATCGCACTGTGGATATACAGGTAACGTCTTCACACAGTCTCCGCGTTTGTAGCAGTCTGGCATCGAATTGCGTTTCATTTCATGGTAACATGTGGTAACACGAGGACCTGTGTACAGCGAACAGGTAACAAATCCGGTCAGGGAGAGTCCATTATTGGGTGGACCGCCTCCGTGGTCTAGTGGTAGAGCGTGCGGAGAACGGAAGAGCTGAAGGTCCGGAGTTCGATTCCCGGTCGCGTCAAACCAAAATATGTTAAAAGATGGTACTTGTTGTTACCCTCTCTGGCGCTCGGCATTAAGGGGCTGAAACAAGTGGTCGGTTCGGACTAGTACAAGCAGACACGCACGCACGCACGCACGCGCGGAGCATGCACGTTGCTATATACGTACAATAATCCCACGTTAAACCCCATTTCACCTCACCTCACCCATTGTTGGGAAACCATGTCTGGCAGCGTGCCTCTTCGCAGTTTCCCCGTCCCACACTGAAGCACGTGTAGCACGTGTAGCACGTGGTGTCTCCTTAGGCGAGTGTCTTTGTTCGAAATATGCCTCTGTTTACCCAGCAGTGAATGGGTCCCCGGTAGTATTAGATATTAGATGGTAATGTGACTGTCTAGTGGAGTACTAAAATGGAATCTTGAAAAAAAGATCATGTGAAATGGGGCTTAACGACGCGTTTAAGATTATTTCAGGTATGTTGCGAGGCGCGTACACGTGTGTTGTGCCTTTAAACCCGTGTATGTAGTCCGGACTAATAGCGGTTATTATGCTAGCCCAATCCATGCTGCTGTTTAACATGGACACCCCTATGAGACACCATGTACCGACCCTGCACCGACCTGTCCGTGCTTTAAGATTTATTCCCTTGAAGCGAGCACAATCGTTCAACGTCTCTTATGTGACGCGGCCAGGTAATCAAATCACCGATTTCGAATCTCTCCGGATTCTTGAAATGCAATAAACACAAGGATGTATTTTTAATTGCATTCAGAGTTGTGCCTTCTATATGTCAATGCCATCGCAGCACTATCAAATATAAATAACACACTTTATACTTATTCTAGAACTATTGTGTGTAGTGTAGGGTATGCATTTATTCATGGTATTTATTTATGTTTATAACATTGCTTTGAGCCTTTGTTATCCTGACACACGCCTGTTATAATTAATTTTATTTACTAGACGCCGACTTCAGAACGATAAGGCAACCAGCATCCGTAACGACCCTTACCTCGAGGAGCATCTGTACGCCGACGTGGACGAGAGTGCAGCTAGACGGCGCGCACAGTCGGTAACCATCGAGCCTCTCTATCACACAGTGGGCGTTCCTGGCGCAACGACGGACGTTTATTCCTCACCTTGGGACTCAAGGTCAGAGCTGAAGTTCAAGGACAACGATGGTTTTAAGAAAGATGACGACAGCGACGACCTTTCTGGCATGTATGTGACGTCAGAACAGGTTAGGAGAAATAAAAAGAATGGAATGGCGGGCGATGATGGCGGCACGTCTGATGAATATGTATCCGTCAGTGAAATACGGAAGAAGAAGGAAAAAAAGGTTACCTTCAATAAGAATCTCGAGGAATATGACAGGCTGAACTATAGGAGAAAGACAAGCGTTGACGACATCCCCTCTGGATACTCTCACCTGGGGATATGTATTAATGATCAGTTAGACGAGGAGCTTGATACGTCATTAAAGGATCCTCCGACGGTTGAGAAGGATCAGGAGAATACCGAAAAGAACACAGAGGATCTGGTGGAAAAGGAGACGAGTTTTATTGAAGAAGTGGAGAAGAAAGACACGCTAACTGTGGAAGGAAATGACGACGACGGGGACAGCACCCAAGCCAGAGCCAGTGACGACGACTCAGGGTTGTCGACTGACGAGGAGAAAGAAGGGGAGACAACTCTGTCAGTTCCAGTTACCACTGCTAGAGATCGCCCGCCCTCGCCCTCACTGTATGCTCTTGCTAAGTCTTTTAGCACAGAATGAATCCTATTTAACTCGAGAACTTAATCAAATGATCATTTTCAACGGTTGGTCCATTCGCATAATAATGCGCAACAAGTCAGTATTTAGGACATTGATTCGTAGAATTGGGTTTTAGTTGTGTCATCATTTGGAAAGACGAGAACACGTTTCTTGACACTTAAATGAAAGAAAAACCCACCATAAAAGGACGCAATGATCTCAGGCTGTTATTTTCTTATGAATGCACGCGTTTGGTCACATACTGTAATACACATGCGTTTTCACTTTACAAACTGTTGCCCATTAACTTCATAAATATGTTTATTAGTCATATGCACGACAAGATTAGAGCCGAATGTCGACAGATTTTATAATCGTATTGTTTTCTATGGTATTTCATAAGTTTCTAATGAAAGTGATGAATACAAGGAGAAGGAGACACAATCTTGCTTGCCCCTATGTGTAACTACACTGCCGGACAAAAGAAAGTATACACTCGTGGAAAACAGTCTAGAAACGCTTTGATAACGTTTGTAATTATTTAGTCATATCTAATTATCATGGGTATACTTTCTTTTCCCCGGCAGTTTATGACTGCACAGGTTTAATCTTTTACCAAACTTGTGTTGGAGATGGATTGTATTTCTATAAATGCTCAATGGATTTAACCATCATGGCTTTTTTGTTACACGTTATTGTACAAAGTTGTTTCTGGGTGGTTCAGTAAACACTCACAGATATTTAGAAGCCATTGTGATGTCAAAACGTCAGCTAAAACAATGGCTTCGTGTTCTTGGCCTCAATGAGGCAGTGGATCACCTTACAATATATATATATATATATATATATATATATATTTACGATTTGGGAGGTAACCTATTCACACTGTGCTTATAATCATTAGAAAAACAAACAGGTTTGCTATAGTTATATTTTCAGCAGATCGTGAGGGAGAAATGACATACGCATATTGAGGCATGATTAATATATAAAAAATATATATAGTTCACGGACCCGCCTGTCTCTCGTGTTCATCCGAGAATTTACTTTTTAGCTACTTTAATGAATTTATTTCTTTCAGCATCAAACTTTATTTTACTGTTGTGTTTATGTCTGCACGTATAAGGTATATGTCATATATTTTCATTATTTTTTAGTAATAATGTATCTATATGTAAATATATATCATGTAAAGCACCCTCGTTGTTGTGTTTTTGTTTCTTAATTATGAGTCTATAGTGGAGCTGAGGTCTTCACCATGGCTGCTGTGTATGGATATTAATTGCATGGAGTGAGTGGGTTGGGTTTTTATCGCCGCTTTGAACTGCATTCCAGTTATATCACTGTGTGTCAGATTTATGTGCGACGAAAGTGATGCAGGTCTTATCACTTTGGTGAAATCCACGAGCACTGGTGTGGTGATGACAAACCTAGAAACATAATCGGGGACGAGCCGGGACTCGAACCCAAGGGACGCAACTCTGCACAGCGAATTGCGCCGACTTAGACAATTGGGCCACGCGTGCATCCAATTGCATGGGTGACAAACTGGGAAGTCACTCATGCGCAGTCAGGACTGGAAACCATCTTAATCATGATCAGGAAACATGTGTTTGATAGCATGAACACGCAGTTGGGGTAAGATGACACACTCTGGGCCAGGTCACGCATCGTATCCTTTCCCCATTCATTCGGCCTTTGCGTTAAGCTTTCGCTACTGCACTGAGATCTACTGGGAATCCAGGATAAGCTGAAGCAACTCACAAAACGCGTTTGAGAGAAGTAGGTGGTGCGCAGAAATTGGCGTAACACATCTGGTTTGTGCGGGCGGGCGGGCGGGCGGGCGGGCGGGTAGCCTGGTGGTTAAAGCATCCGCTCGTCACGCCGAAGACCAGGGTTCGATTCCCGACATGCGTACAATGTGTGAAGCCCATTTCTGGTGTCCCCCGCCGTGATATTACTGGAATACTGTTTAAAGCGGCGTAAAACCATGCTCACTCAATTGGTCTGTGACAGATTGAGAGGATGTACGCATGTTGTGCACGTGCAGGTCATGACGATGAAATTAACTACACTTTTATGGACACACGTGTTTGCTCATAAGACTATTTAGAGGTCAGTGTGACAAAACGATACCAGAATTTTCAAAAATTCGTTTGATAGAAGTTAATTACAAAAAATAAACTTGTCAAAGCTAGGTAAGCATGACCAAATCATATATCCTCAGGCTCGAAAATTGGCCTATGATGTCATAAATTGCATGGAGAAAGAATGCACAAATAAATTTCAAGAATTTTCAAAAGCTAGCATTATCACTGGTCTGTCTGCATATGCATGACATGGCATTCTTCATTATTACTCCCTGGAGTTACAAAAATATTTCTATTTTTACAGCAAATGAAATTCATTCATTGTCACTAAACTTCTCAATTATTGTTATCTATGCAAATTTGCTGTCACCGTTTTCCCAGCCGTCGGGCACCTTACATCAGCATATTATGTGATATTGAACCCTCCACGAGCACTTGTTGTTAGCACAGGACACGCACATATCCATCGACAACTTGTCGCGGACCATCCGCTACCCCTTTCTTCAAAATGGTACACGCCAGTGGGCGGAATCCATACGTTGTCATTCGGGGTTAATTTTCGGGTCACAACTCAACTTACCCTGGCTTTCCGGTAATAAAGCATAAACAATTAAGAGTTCTTTTGTCTCGCACAACATATAATTATATTTTTAGAACTTAAGGTCTCCATAACGAGCTATCATCAATGTTATGCTTGAATGAGAGTGAATAACATTTGGCTACTTCAAATTCGAGATTGTGAAGGAAAGGTAACCATTGATTTACATTTTTCCATTTTGATGTGATGTTTACTCATGACATCTTTCATAAGTAACTGAAACGACCATAAAATATTCTCAGACATTTGATTCCTTAAAACATAAATGGTTTCCAAATGCGTTTCTACCCAGATCTCGGTTCATATCAAAGGAGAGAATGTTACGCTTGTCTTGACCTCAGTTCTAATTCATGTTTGGCATTCTGAGCCATAAGTGATAATTTAAATAAATAAATTTTAAAATGGCAAAATCTTGTGTTATTCACCGACACTTAGATATCCCAGACACATACAAGAGGGTATAATATATAATGACTTTTCGTAAAACCTGTGTATTGCATACCTTTAAGTAACTCAATATAGTGCAAGAGAAGTTTATTAACGGGAATAGCATTGGTATAATTATACATAATGTGGTAGCTATATCAGAAATAGTAACGTTAAAACACTTTGAGAAACACGTTTTACGTTGACTCTGGTTTCATCAATATTCAGTTATGTAAGGACAGCACGTAGTGAGTCATGCTGCAGACGTTGACAACATGTGTAGTATGGTGCTGACAAACAAACTTCACGACCATCAATCATAGGGAATAATTTATTCGAACCCACGATCAGCGGAACTCTGCTCGTCAACTTGCGAGGCCTGGGGCATATTGCTAGTAGAAACACAGTGTACACATGTTTAGAATACCAATATTACCACAGCGTATATGTTGGACTGTCATAGTGTACATATTTGATTGCCATAGTGTACATGTTTGATTGCCATAGTGTACATGTTTGATTGCCATAGTGTACGTGTTTGATTGTCATAGTGTACATGTTTGATTGCCATAGTGTACGTGTTTGATTGCCATAGTGTACATGTTTGATTGCCATAGTGTACGTGTTTGATTGTCATAGTGTACATGTTTGATTGCTTTAGTGTACATGTTGGATTGCCATAGTGTACATGTTGGATTGTCATAGTATAAATGTTGGATTGCCGTAGTTAACAGGTTGAATTGCCATAGTGAGCATGTTGGATTGCCATAGTGTACATGTTTGATTGTCGTAGTTAACATGTTGGATTGCCATAGTGAGCATGTTGGATTGTCATAGTGTACATGTTGGATTGTCATAGTTAACATGTTGGATTGCCATAGTGAGCATGTTGGATTGCCACAGAGTACATGTTGGATTGCCTCAGTGAACATGTTGGATTGCCACAGTGTACATGTTGGATTGCCATTTTGAATATGTTTGATTGCCACAGAGTACATGTTGGATTGTCATAGTGTACATGTTGGACTGCCATTGTGAACGTGATGCATTGCCATTGTGATTATGATGGATTGCCATTTTGAACATGTTTGATTGCCACAGAGTACATGTTGGATTGTCATAGTGTACATGTTGGATTGTCATAGTTAACATGTTGGATTGCCATAGTGAGCATGTTGGATTGCCACAGAGTACATGTTGGATTGCCTCAGTGAACATGTTGCATTGCCATTGTGATTGTGATGGATTGCCACAGTGAACATGTTGGATTGCCATTGTGATTGTGATGGATTGCCATAGTGACCATGTTGGATTGCCATAGTGAACATGTTGGATTGCCACAGTGTACATGTTGGATTGTCGTGGTTAACATGTTGGATGGCCATAGTGAGCATGTTGGATTGTCATAGTATACATGTTGGATTGCCACAGTGTACATGTTGGATTGCCAAAGTGTACATGTTGGATTGTCATAGTATACATGTTGGATTGCCACAGTGTACATGTTGGATTGCCATAGTGAACATGTTGGATTGTCATAGTGTACATGTTGGATTGTCATAGTATACATGTTGGATTGCCACAGTGTACATGTTGGATTGCCAAAGTGTACATGTTGGATTGTCATAGTGAATATTGACATCGCTAGATCTGCTATTACTACTTTTCCAGACTGCAGCTGAAGCCAGTTTTTGGTCATGGTGCATCTCACATCCAGCATTGTAGCAATTGTGTTGCAGTGGCCGTTCTGCTACAGGAGAGTCTTAAAACTTGAATCAGAGAAGGTAAACAGCGTTCACACCTTGGCCACCTCAGGTACAACTCAGCGTTTGGGTTATGGATAGCTTTTTATAATCTGCCACGCCAATGACTTCACGAATGACACCATACGCTGGAAGTGCGGAATTGAACTCGGGCATATCGACTGTCGAGAGAACGGGTGTATAAAACATGGGTGTATATTCATGTATGTTTTTGAGATATTTGCCTTTAAATTGCCCTCAGGTGAAAACGACTACCCCACTACCCTAAATCAATTCCTTAGCATCAACATCTTCCATGTTCATCAGTGAATAAATGCACTCCCTGTGTTTATGCTTCGGCTTCTTCCATTTCCGCCCACTATGTCGTCCGAAAGAAGTTTGTTTGATTCGTCTTCCATGTGTGGCTGGCCTCGGCTGTTCATGCGATTTCAATGGCAATGTCAACTTTGGCCGATACTTCCGAACCACAGGTTGTCCACCACCACCATGTGCATTGACAAAGCTATTTGGAAACGTTACTTTTGGAGAGGTGGTCAAAGTAGGGGTTACCCCAGACTGTTGACTTGTTGTTGTTCGTGACCTCATTTTGTAATATTTAGAGAAGATAGTAGAGGGATTATTGTGCCGCACGTCCTCAACTAATTTACCTCGCCCTGGATGCCCTGTGTCATGCCTTGTCAACGGCCCTCGCTGGCGTTTGGGGAATGTATACAATGGGGCTCTCGCTGACGGCTGTGTGAATTTCACTGTAGTCGGGGTAGATGTAACGGCAGTCGCGAACTGTTTCTTGAAATATGAAATAAGTGCGGCCGGATGGAATGGTCGCATATTTGTAGAAGTTATTTCATCTGTGAAAAATTGAAATAGTTTAGGATACAGATTAAAAGTAAAATCTTTGTAATTGCCATACATTGGGATTGTGAAAATTGAGAATAAACATGAAATCAGAATCCTATATTTCACATTAACAGGAACCTGCCCACCACGCTAATCAAGTGATAAGAACAACATTCAGGTAGATAGCAGAATCTCACTTATGAACACTTTGTGTAAAGTGGTAGCTTCTATTGTATAAGATACATGTGTAAATATATGTAAAATATTTGACATAGAAACCCCAATACTAAGTAATGCTGCAGAAATGTGGAGGTGGTAGAAATTGTTGAATCTGTTCAGAATTACTTTTTCCAACTGAATCAATATTATGTCAACGTAATCCACTTGGTGAATGTCAAGGGTTCCCTTATAATACAATCACATGTTGAACCTAAGTGCTGGTGTAGAAAATATCTAGACATTCATAGATTTTTCTATCATGCTTACTTAGTAGAAAAACAGACACTTTCGTGAGATTATCACAGTGCACGGATATCAATACACTTTTATGTATTGGTAGACGTCTGTAACTGTCATAGATAGGAATAAACTTACAGTGTGAATGATTAGAATACCTTTGTACTTTGTACCTAATGTCATAGAGCATGTAGATAAATGTGGTTATACGTTAGAGATTATGAGCCAGTTGCTTCAAATACAGAAAATAAAACTCTGTCTGTGTCTGTCTGTAAAGTTTACTGCCAACTTTGTCCAGACAGTTTCTTTTATTAGGCTGAACATTATCACGAGGGCATTCAGTTTTTGCTGGGTTCGATGTATCAATTTGAATAGCCATGGTCGAGCATGAGGTAGTCCGGTGTTATTATACAAATCTAGTCTGTAAAAGATTATGTTAAATGTATCCTTGACGACAGCAGTTTACATTAAGTCTACGTCATCATTTCTCCACTTTAAATTACAGATACAAAAAAATATATTTTGTAGTTACTTGTGTTATGGCAACATATTGTAACATTTTTAACATACTTTGATTCATCTTCGTCGGCGTGTAGAAAGTTGTTGATCGTACGGTTGTTAGGGAAGACGTTGATCGTACGGACATCGGGGAAAATGATGATCGTACGGATGTGAACGAAGACGTTGCTCGTGTGTGCATGCGAGAAGGCGTTGATCGTGCCGACGTGAAGGAATACGTCGATCGTACGGACGTTATGGAAGAATCTGAGAGTATGGACGTGAGCGAATACGCTGGGCGTGCTACCGTGACACTTGGACGTGTCGTCGTAACGACGGGATTAACCCCTGACTTTGTTTCCTTGCGGTTTCCTGCGGTAGTGATGCTACCTGCCCCACTCGCATGTCCATTTGTAGATTGTCTGTCCATATCGAAAGCCACCTTATCCTGCAGCTTACATGCACACTCAGCGCTAGTCACGCCGTTCACTGTGGCGTCTTTCGGGGCAGGGTTTCTGTTACTGGTATAGTCAAGGTCGCCGTTCGTGATACCTCTTCGCTTTTGTTGCCTGGCTTCTGCTCTCTCAGCAGATGAAGCATGGTGTCCAATGAGCTGGAATCATAAGGGACATCTTCAACATTAATCAAATTTGAACGAAGGCAATATTTTTCGAAGAAGATGCTCTTCGCGATCCTGAACAAACATACCGAATTCGAGTTGCAATATTGACCTGGCAATAGTTTTTTGAGGCGCTCGTGTTTCAATATGGCTATTTTTACAAGATGGTGCACAGTCGTGAAAAGAGAGTGTTATGGAATAGGGACCTTGCAAGTGCGTTTTAGAGTCGTGAAAAGCCATACTTGTTGAATCTGTGAGGAGGTTATTGGAAAATCCCAAATATCGTTTACGGTATCTGTTTCGTCGAATGAGAAAACCTCAGCTGATGAATCTTTGTTCTTGAGCGAGTCCGTTTGAAAACAGCTGTAGCGAGTTTCTCCTACAAATATACAATAATATATAATATGAAAATCAAAGCAACCATAAGGGCCTAGACCATTGTTATAAATAGATGAATGAATGGATACATAGAAACTAAATCATTAGATCCACACACACACACACACACACACACACACACACACACACACACACACACACACACGCACGCACGCACGCACGCACGCACGCACGCACGCACGCACGCACGCACGCACACACACACACACACACACGCATACAAACATACATAAAATTCATGGTTAGATAAATTTATGCTACCCAGCTTAGAGCAACAATCCAGTATCTTTTTCTTCATGAAAGACCTTCCGTTGAGATTAAAGGGTACGCTATGGTTATCTCTGGAGCACAAGCGGTCAATACGGCGTCTACGGACATGCTCAAGACAAGGGCTAGCGTCATATTTCTGTAAAATAATCAAATGTCATATAAGTTGCAAAGCTGGTTACAAAGCATCGCAGAAGCAGAAATCATTGAGTGTATATTTTTCCGTTTGGTGCGAAATGACTTAAATTTACCATGTGCAAGTAAAGTCTTCACAGGATTTTCTAAGAAGTTACAAATGTATGTGATAATAAAACATAGCACATTCAATACATCTTTATTCGAGTACTATTCAAAAGCAGTACATACTTCGGTTTTTTGGTTTTGCAAGGCTGTTGGTGCTATGATATTCTCGCAGCAACTGAGAACATCCAGCCTTCTGAGACGAACCTCCTCCGTTATATTAACAACGTCTGACTCGTTGGGTGCGGTGCTGTAGCGTCGCTGCAGAAGTCTACGTTTGAAGACAACGTCACTCGACGTGAACCGCTTTGTCAGATTGCACAACACACGGATCAGATGTTCTCTATTTACCTTTAATAAAACTGAACGTATGAGTAAATAAATGTTGGTTAATGGTCTTTCGGTGTATGTGGTGGACACCAGAGAGGTGCTCAGGTCAGGAGGATTTTGTTTTCTATTGTTTTGTTTTGTTTTATTTGTTGTTCAAAGCCGCACTCCGCAATATTCCAGCTATATGACTAAATAATCGAGTATGGACCAGACAATCCAGTGATTGATACCATTAGCATCGACTCACGCAATTGGGATACGATGACATGAATCAGCCAAGTCAGCGAGCCTGACCACCGGATCCCGTTAGTCGCCTCTTACGACAAGCATAGTCACCTCTTACGGCAAGCATGGGTTGCTGAAAACCTATTCTTACCCTGATCTTCACGGGTCATGCAGTTATTTGAACGTATTTCTTATGATTATAGAAAGCGTTTTGTCGCTTTAGTGTTACAAAACCTGTGTCTTTTTTATCTCAGATGAAGGTGTCACGTCCATCATTCCGTCGTTCCGGGGCATTGACATCGTTCCTAAAAACATCAATGAAACTTGTTGTATCAATAACATTTATTAGACATTATGGAGGAGTTCCAAACCTATCCGCCGCCTCCGTGGTCTAGTGGTAGAGCGTCCGCCCGGAGAGCGGAAGGTCCGGGGTTCGATCCCAGGCCGCGTCAAACCAAAAGACGTTAAAAGATGGTACTTGTTGTTACCCTGTCTGGCGCTCGGCATTAAGGGGCTAAAACAAGGACTGGTCGGCTCGGAGTCAGTATACTGTGTCTGAGTGGGGTATTCATGTTAAACTGCGGCATGGTATCTCAGTGTGCTAGCACTATAAATCGGCATCAGTCCGGACTAGTACAAGCAGCCACACAAACACACACACGTGCATGCACGTCGCTATATAAGTGCAATAATCTTGGGGGCGACGTGAAACCCAATTTCACCTCACCTCACCAAACCTATCCCATTGAAAATCTCTTACGATCACTTACGTAAGAGAGATGGGGTGAAGTGAGGTGAAATGGGGTTAAACGTTCAAGCTAATTGCATTTAATGCATGCATGCGCCCGTCTGTGTCTGTCAACGTTTGCGTGTTTGTGTGTGTGTGAGCGCGTGAGTGGGTACTTGTAGTAGTCCGGACTGATACCGTTTTCATAGTACAAGCCCCCTGATTCTCCACTAAGACACAGTATACTAACTAAGAACCGAACCCTCCGTGTTTTATCCACGTTCTGTCGGGGTAAGGAAGGGTAACAACAAGTACCATCTTTTAACGTCTTTTGGTTTGACGCATCTTCCCGAGGAAAGGGAGTTAACTGACTGTAAAAGTCCAGTTTTCACCTTGCTGAACGAGGCTGGAATTATGGAGTTATATTTGGCTGGACTAATGAGTCCTATCAAAATCGCGTAACAAAATCGACATCCGGTTCGTAAACTGCCGTGCAGATTTCGACCGTTTGCAGGATTTGCAAAGAATGTGTACCGTCAATTTAGCTTCAATAGATATATTCCAAATCTTTTCATGTTTAGTAATCAACGTGCTTACGTCATCTGATGCACTTCGTAAGACCCGTTTTATTATCGATCAGATCGTCCTAACTGGGCGCCGCCATTTTGTTTGACGCAAATGCAAGTGATATGTGAGGTGGAATCTGATTGGTCAATAGGAGGGACATAGAAGGGACATAACTCGGAATAGCCACTCGTTGCGCTACGATAGAGCACAGAAATTCAAGCCTAGATCGACAAGGGCGGAAACTGGACTTTTACGGTCACTTAACTCCCTTGCCTCGGGAAGATGGGTATGACGAGGCCGGGGATCGAAAACCGACCTTCATGAGCATGTTAAATGTATATAGTTTGGTCATACCCGTCACGATACATTTCATGTCTTCAAGAATTATATATTAACAGGAGCTACCGTAGCCCTGCATTTGTATATTCGTATAACGGTGAAAGCATTCCTCGGGTGGTCACCAATCCAGTCAGTGTGACCACACGACGCTTAGTATCAACTAAGGAACGCGCGTGCTTTCAAACTTGTTAGCATAAAATGTACATTTATGTCTCACAATTTAAATTGATCACTCACCTTTAAGCCCAGTGTATGACATATACATAAATCACTCACCTTTTATCCCAGTGTACGAAATCTTAATTTATCTCCCACCTTTAGGCCCAATCAATGCATGCAACGAAGATTGATGCGTCAGCGTGGAATTTAAATTGACCGCTTAATTATTTGTCCCATTGCATGAAACTAACCTTTTATCCAAAGAATGACGAGAACAAGAACATATCCGACAGGCTTCATTGGTCAAGCACGCAAGAACACAGGACCAGAGGAATAGAACAAATACCCAGACCTTGTGTACAAGGACAACGGCCTAATGGTACACGCAATGTGCACTGGTGTAATATGAACGGGAACAAGGGGCAAAAGGGGGTTGGGCTGGGGGCTGGGGGTGATTGAGGGGGGTGGGAGGAGAGAGTAGCAATGTATAAGGCGAGGGGGGGGGGGGGGGGGGGTGACGACTGTTCCGATTGAAAACCTGTTAACAGGACGTTGTCGCCAGTATTATGTTTTGTCATTCCTATGGCATTGATACTGGAATGCACGACAACAAGGTCATGAAAATTGGGTTATGCACATATTATAAGCTGTAGCAGTTTCACGAGGGGTAAATGTGGTTTTACGCGTCCCGCGTCAGGTTTTTATACCACGAGCCGGAAACCTGACGCGGGACCCTTAAAACCAAAAGTACCCCGAGCGAGTGGTGAAAAACCTAACGAGGGACGCATAAAACCACATGTACCTCGAGTGATCCTGCTACAACGAATTTATCTTACCGACATGTTTTAATAGACATTGGAAGAAAATTAAAACAAATTCAAAATTGATAGAAAACAGCTGATCGAATGAGCTGAGGTTAACATGTGCTATGTCAGGTGGCTTTCATTTACTCGGAAAATGAGTGGGGCTCTTTGGTTCGAAGCGGGGTATAAGGGATTTATTCTGGTTCTCAGAAAATCTATGTGCAGCAAGTCTTGTTCGTGGCGGGGTATAAGGGATTTATTCGCTTCCTGGGAAATGTATTTCCCTCAGAGGCGACATACATTTTAAGTTGTAGCAGTATCAGGATGGGTACATGGGGTTTTATGCGTCCCTCCTAGGTTTTTATACCACTCGCCGTACATTGACTCGGAAACAGCATGCGGCTTTTTACTTTGACGCAGGGTATAAGGGATTTGTTCTGCAACTTAGAAATCCACGTGCAGCCTGTATTGCTTGTGGTGGGGTTTAAGATATATATTCCCCCGCTGAGAAATTTATTCAATCCAAGGCGGGTTATTTTGTCAGTATTTTATCAAGACGTGGACCAATCAGATCTCATCATTCGGACATTGTTTGTTGTTTAACGCCGCACTCAGCAATATTCCAGCTATATGACGGCGGTCTGTAAATAATCGAGTCTGGACTAAACAATCCAGTGATTGACATCATGATGATCGGTCAACGCAGTTGGGATACGATGACATGCACCAACCAAGTCAACGAGCCTGACCTCCCGATCCCATTAGTCGCCTCTTACGATAAGCACAGACGCCTTTTACGGCAAGCATGGGTTGTTGAAGACCTATTTCACCCCAGATCGTCACGAGTCACTGATAAAGCTATATATTACGACTTAACGTTAGTTATATAATATATTATTTGTTTTACTCTTTTTATGAATTCATACAAGTGCACCGCCTCCATGGTGCAGTGGATAGAGCGTCTGTCCGGAGAGGTCGGTGATTCGACACAACATGCGCTTTCGTCGAATACAGTAATGGAAAATTGTACAAGGTCGTTGTTTCGTTAACATCAATGAAAGGAAATAATGATGTCGTTTTTTCAATTTTTCGCTTAAAGGATTCGATGAGACAGTTTGTTTTATGCCACATAAATATTCCGGGTTCCAGTACTGATGCTTGTCTTAAGGGTCGAACAAATATGGCTCAGATGCTGAGACATGGCTAACTGAATGTCATCGTGACCCGATGTCACCACAGTCATGAGTGAAAAGTGCAGTGCCCGTCCGGGTCCGATTCCACGCATACAGTAAGCCCTGTCTAAATCGACATTCCTCGGGACGGATGGAACGGTGGGGTGGTTATAGAACGCCGAAGGCCCAGGTTCATATTCCCCACATGGGTACAATGAGTGAAGCCCATTTCACGAGCCCGGGGCGAGTGGTATAAAACCTAACGAGGGACACATAAACCACATGTACTTCGGATAATACTGCTATAACTAATTCATCTTACAGACATGTTTAATATGACACTGTTAATATGACATTGAAACAAATTCAAACTTGATAAAAGCTTAACTTGTGCTGTCACGTGACTATCTTTGACTCTGTAAAAGCGTGCGGCTTTTTGGTTGGACACGGGGTATAATGGATTTATTCAGCCTCTCAGAAATCCACGTGCCGCAAGTCTTGTTCGTGGTGTGGTGTAAGGGATTTATTCTCCCGCTGAGAAATTTATTTCCCTCAGAGGCGGGATACATAGTATTTTATCAAGATCACGTGGATCAATCAGATATGATTATTCTGACACGGAGGTGTGATAAAGCTATAATTTATTACTAAACGTTAGTCAGATAATATGTAATTTGTTTAAATTTCCTCTTTTTATGAATTTGAACAAGTGCACCGCCGCCATGGTATAATGGATAGAACATCTGTCCGGAGAGGTCGGTGGTTCGACACATCGTGCGCTTTCGTCGAATACAGTAATGGAAAACTGTAAAGGGTCGTTGTTTCGTTAACATCAATGAAACATCTTTTTTCTCTTAAAGGATTCGATGAGACAGTTTTTTTATGCCACATAAATATTCCGGTCTGATGCTTGTCTGAAGGGGCGAACAAATATGGATCAGGTGTCCAGGCTCTGAGACATGGCTGCCTGAATGTCATTGTGACCCGATGTCATCACACCGTAGACTCTGTCTATTTCGACATTCCTTGTGACCAAGAGAATGGCCTACGTTCGCTCGTCACACCGAAGGCCCAGGCTCAATTCCCGACATGGCCATTGGTACAATGTGTGAAGCCCATTTCAGGTGTCTCCCGGTTTGATATTGCTGGAATAATGCTTAAAGCGGATAAAAACATACTCACTCACTCACTGAATTCATGCCATGGGAGTCCAATATTACACACCATGATATTGTGGCAAAGATAAACATCAGATATGAATTCCACATGCATTTATCCATCAGTTACAATTTCATATCAAGTAACATAGACTTATATAATTCTACACTCTACAAACTACATTCTACCGATTAAATTAGGGCCATAGAGGATTAGCTGTTGCTATGCCCAGAGCGGTAATTGGCCCATTGTGGTTTTAATGCATTCTGTGGCAAAAAAACATTCATAACTGTATGGGAAGATATTAGATATGAATTATACCAAGAATCCAGACTCATCGATCAGTGGTTATATGTGGTCAGATATTGACACGATCTCAGCAATCTCAGTAATCAGAAACTGTACAATTAGTTGTTAGATGTTTAAATATTATCAAGAGGCGTAGGTATCTTCTTTATTGGTAATACCTATATATCTATTTTACTCTACCGTTATGTACTTTGCCCTTGTATTTTATTTGGTGTATGTATACACGTCTCTCATAACACTTACAGAGTGGCTCAAGTCGATATATATGATATTACTGTATGCTTATCATTCGGATACCGGATATCCCTTCCCTATGTCCCTTCCACTATTTTACGGTCTTGAACTAAAAATATAAGAGACCAGTGAAACCGCCTCATCTGTTTTATGTTTAGATCTATGCATATAGATATAGAGAGACTAAACACTCTCCACAAGATTGTATGACAAAATGGATCAACTTTCCAATGTTCAACGTTTCCTTTATGTCGAGCTATATCCTAGCAGTTCCAGAGTTTGGTGTCTACATATCACCACATTTGAGATCAATTTGTTTGATCAAGGTAAGACCATTGAAGGCTTCAGTTAAGCGTTCAAAAAGTGGAAGACTCTTACAAATTTGACACACTAGTAACAAACATGATGTCCGATGCATTTCCAAGAACCATATGTTCCCGTGTTTTTGTTAAGTGAACAATTGCCTGTGTATGTGTTTGTGACGGGTGCCACCGCTTGAGCAGGATACACTCGCCTTTCGGGAGAATATGGAAATGGTGTTGTCGCTGTTATTTATGTGAGGTGGAGTGTAATTGGGTTCAACATCGCGTCCAAGGTTATTGCACTTATATAGCGACGTGCATGCACGTGTATGTGTGGCTGCTTGTACTGGTCCTGACTGATTCCGATTTATTTGTGCTTGCACACTGAGATACCATGCCGCAGTTTAACATAAATATACCCCACTCAGACACAGTATACTGAATCCGAGCAGATCAGTCCTTGTTTTAGCCCCTTAATGCCGAGCGCCAGACAGGGTAACAACAAGTACCATCTTTTAACGTCTGGTATGAAGCGGCCTGGGGATTGAACCCCGGCCCTTCCGCTCTCCGAGGGGACGCTCTACCTCTAGACCACGGGGGCGCTCTTGTTATTTATGTACTTTTACATGCATACATTAGGTGCGACTCGTATAAAAATACTGCTTGTATGCCTGTCTGTCTGTCTAGCTGCATGTTTTATCCACAGGTTCATGGCATTTCCCGCACAGTGTAGAGGGGTTACCTATTTTAAAGTGTTTATTAAAGTATATTTTATTACGATTTCATTGATTTGATGTCGACTTACGCAAAATGGATTTGCCAATGGGACCAGGAAACAGTAACGGAATTTGGAACAGGCAAATGTTGGATTTGACAGATTTCTACATTAAAAGTATATAGGGACTGTGGCGGGACTAAAAGATTATGATGCTGAGTTTTTCAGAGTCTACTGTACTATATTTCTACATCCCAAACTCCTGAAACCCGATCCAGCCTGTCTCTCCATCTGTTTTCCCGGGTAAACAAATGTCATGATGACATGAATTTCATTGAATCCGGACAATACAGCTGCGAGAAATGAGAGAACACGTTTTAATAGTAACGGCTGTAGGGGCACCCTGGCTCACACATGCATGGCGATGCTCTCACTCGTGTACAGCCTGAGTTTGTGGGAAGTAGACCCGAACGTATTTCACCTCCACCTGGAATAATAAAATTGGATACACAACAGACAACCCTTTAATACACCTGTACTCACGACGTTTGTGCTTCCCGAAATTTGTTCAAGGCTCAGTGAAGGTGTAAAAATAGAAACAGGTGAGTGGAATTGGGGTTCAACGTCGCGTTCGAGATTATTGCACGTATATAGCGACGTGCACTTGTTAGGCGGCTTGTACTAGGCCGGACTAATGCCGGTTTTATAGTGCCAGCCCTCCGAGATACCATGCCGCAGATAAATATGGATAACCCACCCAGACACAGTATGCTGACTCCGAGCCGACCAGTGCTTGCTTTATCTCTTTAACGCTGAGCGTCAGGCAGGGAAACAACAAGTACCATATTTTAACGTCTTTTGGTGTGAATCGACCAGGGGATCGAACTACCGACCTTCCGCTCTCTGTGCAGACGCTCTATCCACTAGACCACGGCCACAATAAAAAAAGTATTAAAATACGATACAATGTAAATAACCTAGCATACAACAGAAACAGATAGAAAGAAGAAACCCGACCGCCAAACAGAAGTCATTTACGTGACATTCATTTCGGATAGTATATAAGTTGTAAGTCTGACATAAAAGAAAATGCGTAATAGTGAAATCTTTTGTTGTGGCTATATAACATGATGTCATTGAGGTATATCCACAAAAACTTGAGTCATTTAAGCAATTATTTTCTTTGTGACATGTCCGTAAAATAAGCCAGGTCTGTGACCTTTGGACAAAGTTGAGGAATCACAAGGGACAGCCAATGCCGTCTTTAATATGTATTGCAGCAAATGTCAACGACAGTTAAGAATGATACTTATTACTCACATGGGAAGAGAGAGTATAGGGAGGGTACAGCAATCGCTCAATTAATTCCGATTGGCTGTTTTAGAAATCCTGTAACTTCATTGGTTAATGACGTATTGTCGGAACTACTTGTTCCTATTCATCATGTTCATTCATCTTTTCCACAAACAAGTTTCTGCCATATAAGATTCGTCACTTAAAATCCACAACATAAGGCGCTGCAAAAATACAAGTCAGTCTTTATTAATCCAAAGAAAATATCGTTCACAAATTGTTTATGATAATGGACTACACAAAACATTAAAACTAATTGAGATTTGTAAGTACAGTAATATTGATTGACTAAATCGTTTTCTATCCCTATACGTAAACAACAATGTCAACAATTTTATTCCCGATAAAAGTGAACGATCTTGTGAAGACTGACGGAAAATTTTGTTGGAAGACGAGTGAACATGATATAGCCATTGAACGGTTTTAGCGTTTGGCTCGTTTAATACCAATTATCATACCTCCATGTCAGAATGATGAGATATGATTGCTCCACGTTATCTTGATAAAATACGATGTATCCCGCCTTGGAGAGGAATACATTTCTCAGTTGGAGAATATTTAACCCCGTCACAAGCAAGTCAGGCTGCACGTGGACTTCTGAGAGGCAAAATAAATCCCGTATATCATGGACCGCCTCCGTGGTCTAGAGGTAGAGCGTCCGCCCGGAGAGCGGAAGGTCCGCGGTTCGACCCCAGGCCGCGTCATACCAAAAGACGTTAAATGATGGTACTTGTTGTTACCCTGTCTGGCGCTCGACATTAAGGGGCTAAAACAAGGACTGGTCGGCTCGGAGTCAGTATACTGTGTCTGAGTGGGGTATTCATGTTAAACTGCGGCATGGTATCTCAGTGAGCTAGCACTATAGTTCGGCATCAGTCCGGACTAGTACAAGCAGACACACAAACACACACACGTGCATGCACGTCGCTATATAAGTGCAATAATCTTGGGCGCGACGTTAAACCCCATTTCACCTCACCTTATATCATGCTTCAAAGCAAAAAGCCGCACATTTTCTCCGAGTCAATGGAAGTCACGTGACATAGCGCAAGTTAACCTCAGCTCAACCGAACAGCTGTTTTCTATCAATTTTGAATTTGTTTGAAGTTTGTTACAATGTCATATCAAATCATTTGGTAAGATCAATGCGTTGTTGAGGGACTCATAAAACTCCATATTCCCTTCGAGGTACTGCTACAACTTAGAACGTAAGACATTCCAGCGTAGTCGCGGTATAAAACGAACTCTGTGACAGCGGGTGAGAATGGGGACAGTAACACTGACTGTTGTTTCAAAATGTATGACATATATTCACTTGAAAGAGTCTGTCAAATAAAGTTTATTTGTTGTGGAATCAGTTTACACAGCTTGTTGTTGTTGAGAATGTTCAGACCGACAAGAGTATTGGTATTCTCTCTGTAGTCATGAGAGCCAGTGACTTTATGCCACTGACGGACCACTGTCGACAAGTGTTTGAATTTTGTTTTGACAACAATGCCACGTCATTGTTGTAGTATTATACCTGAATCAAAATTTATATTTATCCCCAAAATTTATGATATTGCTTGAATTGTCGACGAATTAATGCCGCTCAAACGAACTATTTCTCATTCGCGGAATCTTAGTGTTGAGTGCAGACAGGTAAAATTCCTTGAATGAATGAATGCCAGTTCACACGCGTATGGATATTATGAAATGCGACTTCGCCTCTGTTATAAGAGTAAACTGTTTCTTATCTATTTAGGTTCTTATTTAAATCTTGACGATAGATAATAAATAAAATAAACTACTCGCGACGAGGAATGACGGATTATCTGTCCTTCGTGAAATTAATTTTGAAAGTCCCTCGCCAAGGCTCGAGACTTACAACTTTAATTACACTCGGGACAGATAATCCGTCATTCCTCGTCACTCGTAAATTATTGTCTATAACTTTATACAAATGTGTCGGATATAAGTTAGGATTAAGGAACACGAGTCTTCATCTGACAGGAAAACATTTTATTATTTCACTTCGGAAGGAAAATTCAGTTCGGGCGGGAGGCGGGAAACACAGACAGTCTTACCCCGATTGTGAGGATCGTTGCATATGATTAAAGTTAGTGGTTTGCCTGGTCCGTACTCCATTATTTACTGACAGCTTTGAAATAGCTGATTGCAGCTGTGTATAAACACATTTACATACTGCAGAATGATGTGCACGGAAGTCACTTGTGGTGCCAACAACACGCGCGACATGCCTTTAACACTGGTGTAGCACAAGGAGAGCGTATCACACCAGTGTTATTCATCATAACTCCCATGTTTCATTTCTGCATTGTCGCAACGCATTTGCTGCTTACAGGCGTGCGTCACATGTGCTTCAGATGGACTTTCGTATCACCTAATATTCACACACTGATACACATCAGTTATCTACAAAGCGAATTTCGTTTTGTTTTATGATAAACCATATTGTGGTAGTCCTGTTATCATCTCATAGCCAAACTGGCTATTTACAAGTAGTATTAAAAGGATATTTGGTATGAGCATTGAATGCCTATTGAAAAGACAAACGTAAAAATCTTCGTTTATTAAATTTACTGACTGCTCACCACAGACTCAACCGGGTTCGAGTACTCTCGTTCGAATTGAATACTTCTAAATCAACAGGAAATCCATGTCTCACAACGGTTAATGCCATTGTAATTACTTCCACTGGTCTATATTAGATTTGGTATCGTGATTTAACTATTGTGTTACGATTGATCGTCGCAGGACCATAAACACACTCTCGTGTCTCAACATCGCTGGAATGATATGCACCGAAATTGGGATATACTTCGTTCGGATCCTTAAAAAGTAGTAATTCTGTATATGAGGGTTGAAGAAGAAAGGTTTCAGATATTTCTGAATAATTGTAATGAAGGTTTTTGATAATTTTAAAGCGTTAAATTTCCTATGTGTTTCTTATTACTTTTTTTCAATGGGTCATTGTTGAACAAATGGATTGTGATATCAGTTACACATGCAGATGTCAAATGTTCCATGCAAAATACATCAATAAAAAAGTATTACACTGATACAATTTCATTTTGCAATTATGATATGTTTTTCAATTATTTATACATGCATGGTACAAGGTATAGTTACTCCGTAATTTCGCATTTTTTTCATATCACGAACTCGCCGTTATTCGTGGATATACCATGTTGAGCCGACCGTGTATTTTAAGCCTGGTTATGCTGGATTTAATTTCACGCGTGCTCCCTCATACCTCATTCATCATACCCCCCAACCCCTTACCCCCGAAGCCCGTGTCACCACGTGTGTAACACAAGATTTTCACGACCGTCTACCGAGCTGAGTGACCAATCAGCGGCTAGGTTTACAATTCGAGGTATCAAACGCATCACTCGTGGTTGAGACTGATAATGGACCTCCGTTCACATGTGTTTGGTCAGCCAGCTCACTCATGGTATTATTTCATTCACTTATAAACCCTTACCCTGACTGTAGTTAAATCAGTATCCATGACATTGCCGCCAGAGTGAAGTGCCTTCTTAGCATTTAAGCGATTTGACAAAGTTTCCCTTTAAGGAGAAACTTTTCTTTTAAGAACAGTTATTTTTAAAGTGTGTCTGCCTGCATTGCTATGCGCCAGTCTTTGTTCCTTGAAGCATTGTTCATCATTGGGCTGCTGGCCACCTGGGAAGGTAAGGGTTTCTTAAATATTTGACTATTTAGCATGTGGGGTGAGTAGTGTGTCTGCTCTGCGCCTGATGGTATTATTGTAGATTATTATTTATTCGGCGCGACATCATGCAAGATTGCATGTAGTTTTATGGATGGTGTAAGATGTATGTTGTATGCTTTGCTATGAACTAAAGTAGATGTACGATCATCATTACAAACACGCAGATAGCTTTCCTATTAGATGGGAACTTTCGCATATATTGCACTCATTATCCATTGTCAGGGTATGAAACTCCCAAAAATTTCAGCCAGACCACAGGACTGGCTAGCTGAAATACGTGCCAGCCCTGACCAAAACCTGCCTGCCCACTATAATCATATGTTTCTCAGCATAAGCTAACGGGGTTTCTTTTTGGTTACATTTTATCATTCATCTTTAAATGTGAATTAATGATTATCATCGGGAAATATTTAGAATATTTTCACATATGAAATATAACCCGACCGTCGGGCAGGGGGATTTGAAAATCTGGCAGCCCGAGTTGAAATCAACCTGTCTCGGATGGTCGGGCAGGCAGGTATTTCGAACACTGCCATTGTCCATTTAACTGTATCATCGTACTGACACAGGTAGTGGGTTAGGGTCGGATGCGGTCACGATGGGTCAAATTGTCAGAAACAAATTAGAGGCCTGGAAGATTATGTAGTATGCAGTATAAAACCATAATCTCTAGGACATGGCAAACTGCAGCCTATATGCGAATGTGACGATCTTACTGGACAAACAATGTTCCAGTGTTTTAACAGAAGCTGGCATATCAATTGAAAGCGACTAGCGCAACAATCAAGCGAACGGGCAAGACACCAGGAAGCTTTTGGTGCAATAAATGCATTCGCATATCTAAAACTCAACAACAAGAAACGTGTTCATGAGGTGAAATGGGGTTTAACGACATGTATGCACACGTGTTTGTGATAACTTGTACTGGTCCTGACTTTTATAGTGCTAGCCAAATGAGCTAGTATGCCGCAGTTTAACATGGATACTACATTCAAACACATTATACTCATTTCGATCCTACAATTTGCTTAACAATCTATTGTTTGGGAACTAGACGTTTATTTTATTGAAGGTCTGTTTATACTATATGTATAATCTGTTCAAATGGCCTTTTCTGGTTTTGAAATAATTCTTATAATGAACCATTCAACACCGAACACTGTCTCCACTGTATTATTTTATTTAAAACATTGATATTTCTCAATATTTATTACAGAACGAGTATTCATCTAATTTCGTTTTGCTTTGAAACAATTGGTCTTGTAAGATCATGTTCTTTTAATGTTTTTTATAAGCTTGTATTATGATTTTAATTTTTCATCGGTGTTTCTCAAACTCGAAAATATAAATAAGAAAATTAAAAGTGTTTTTACAGCAACGAAATAAAATGGCAACTCATACGTGATATCTTCCTGTAGGATCTCAGCGAACTGTCCACGAGTGTAAGCTGTATCAATCCAGGGTTCCCAAACGTGGTTATCTAGACTCAAGTGGTATTGCTGTGTTTACTAGTCTTGTTATCATATTTATATCTATCACAGTTATCTAATAATTGATATACATGGCACGGACACAATTTAGCGGTCACATGACGATCGTGCACGTGATCAGAAGTTAGCTATAGTTAATCTATTTATCGATACCATTTTTGGCTGAGTATTTTCGCATTGAAAGAAGTGGTAACTTTAAATTTGTGTTTTATTCAATAAACGTTGAGCAAATGTTTCGTCATATTGTCACCCTAAATATGCATTGAAGAGTCATTTGGTTAGTTTAGTTTTATTTATAAAACCTGGTAGGTAGGTTGCCCATTGTGGGAGTATATACATGTCACATAAAGTGTGTTATTACTGCTTAATTGATTCGTGATATTCAATCTTTAGTACAAGCAATATTCAGTTACATTAGGTTTACGTAGGTTTTTCTTTCTTACGTCCAATTTAGATGCCGTGCGGTTTAAGAATATCCAGATGAAAGTGTTGAAATACCCAGAATTCATGAATCAGTTTTGATCGTCACATCCTGTCGATGTTTCATAGCGCAACACAACAACCTTTTTTTTCACTTCACTTGTCTTTATATCCCACGTGTGTTAATGCCTCATTACATTGCAGCGTACGCCCTTGACTGCCCGGGGGGCGTGATACCGCCAGGTCTGACCTTGGGTGTTAATGACGTCAGTGATGGACAAGCCCTGTTCTGGTTGAACGTTGGCCGAGCCCGTTTTGGATACAAGCCCAACCATTACTACAAATGTAAGCTTAGCATTCACACCCACAAGTATACATTATATATGTTGAAAGAGTAGCGTGCAGCATACACACCCACAAGTATACATTATACATGATGTTGAAAGAGTAGAGTGTAGCATACACACTCACAAGTATAAATTATATATGTTAAAAGAGTACAATGTGGTATACAAACGCACAAGTATACATTCTATAAACTTCCAAAGAAGGATTCGCGTGGGAATTTCGGTACAGAACTAATGCCAATTCTTGTGAATCGAATTCCAATGTGTATCAGAAGGTCAAAATGGTTGCACAGTATGAGTGTACTTGTAAATGGTTTTGAGGTTTAACGTCCTGAAATGTTACTCACACTATCCACCACCTGCCTTCTGTAATGGCTGTCTGATGGAAGCCTCATCCAGGCAGAACGAGAACATGTACACATGCATGTTTTTTGCCTCCTGAAGTGAACATTCCTTAATATAACTACCGACGTGGACCCACCATAGCTCGTTTTGTGTCACATTCGAATGACGTTATGCTCCCCATAGTCGTCCGTCATGTTACGCTCACCTGAGAGAAATCTTGTGCAAAACTACTGATAGAAGCAATGGCATAGCGAAGTTATGGTTCGTATTTATCATAATATAACGTGGATATGCTACACTACATTTATAGAGATTCAAACATACAGTTGTGTATAGCTTTTCTTTTTGATTCAGTGGGCATCACGACTCTGGACACCGACTTTCCATTCAGCGAGGCCGTCTTGACCCTCCAGGAGGAGGACCCTTCACGTGGGTGTGGAACTGGTCACTTTAAGTTCGATACCCCTCACCTGTACCAATTCAAAGACTGCCAAGAGGTTCTGCTCACGAACAAGAAAACACCTATGACTGAACTACCTCCCGTTATGTGGCGGGCGCCGGAATGTGGCTGTGTTCTTGTAAAGTAAGATAATAACTGCATTCTCTTATGTAATCCCATTAGTTCAAAGGAGAAGATTTTGTGAATGCCAATTTCTTCATTGTGAGGATAACAATTTCGTTACATTTTTTGGGCGTCAAAGGCACCGTAATTCGCTTTTGCAGAATTGCGTCCCTTGGGCACGATAGAAACCTATGACTGTGGGTTCGAATTCCTGTTCGCTCCGATTATGTTTCTAGGTTTGTCAGCATCGTGCTCGTGGGTTTCACCGAAGTGGTAAAGGTCTGAGACCTGCATCACTTCGGGCTTTACTCAAAACATTAAGCTGACATGCTCACTCTCTCGTTCGTTATCTTGGATAGACACACTCTCTGAGTATGTTCTGACACCTTTTTGCGCGATTGGTAAATGAGTTAGGGAATTCTCTGAGACATTGCTTGCCTATATACGATTAACATGATGACACCCATAAAACAGGGTTCCTTCATATGTATTTCAAAGTCCAAATTAAGTAACAATTCACGTCATTGTTTGTCAAATATTCACTTGATACTGATCAGGTGGTTGTACAAACCACCTGATCAGTATCAAGTGAATGTACCCAATCGATGATAACAAAACACACATACTTCTGAATCCAAGCCTGCATGTTCTTTCAGTTAAAAATCAAAATATAAACGACTAAAAATGAACATGAAAATAACTTTGTTTAATAAGTGTCCGAATGCGAAAGTGAACGTACTTTCAGGTTGTTTAGTTTATGTTAATAAGTGAAACACGTTTTTTAAGGGGTGGACTTTCAAGAACCAAGATTTTTAAGATGTTAAATATTTTGTTTTTAGTGCTACAGTTATAAGCAATGGAACGACATACTATATGGATCAGACACCTTCTGGCTTCCTCTCAAAGCGACTTTGCCCAAGACAGAATCTACATGGTAGGTCATCGACCTTAACAACATGACTATATAACTCCTATACTTCAACATGGACGTACATGTCTTACAACCATGATTGATTATTGCAAATTGGCGAAGTAAGCAGTGAGGTTAGTGTAACTTCTATATGTCCTTGTAGTCCGTTTTAGCCGTTTTCAGCACTCATGCAAATGCCATCTTGACACAATTTTGGAGTATAACGGGTTTGGCATTATGGGAGTCACGTTAACCTTGTTTCTCTTCATGTACAGACAGGGTTATTTAAACATATTTAATTTGTCGATGGTTATGATACTTTCCATTATGAAACAAATAATTTGTGTTTGTGCTTCAGTGTTCAGAACCAAATATACACGGTCAGTTAAGACAGAGCAACCCACCACGACCACAACTACAGCCAGTACAACACAGACACCGCCACAGAAGAAAAAGGTGAGTTTACTTCTTTGTCAGAGGAGCCTTGCTAATGCATAGGAGCCTTACACAAAGCCACCATTGCACTACGATTAGGGGGAGCTTCTTTACCCATAGGGGCCGTGGGGCAGCCTAGTGGTTAAAGTGTTCGTTCGTGATGCTGAAGACCCGGGTTCGATTCCCCACATGAGTACAATGTTTAAAGCACATTTCTGCTGTCCCCCGCTGTGATATTGCTGGCATACTGCAAAAAGCTCCGAAAAACCATAAACCATCGGTGTAACGATCTGTTGCTTCAACTAGTAGGCTATACCCGGTGTAACGATCTGTTGCTTCAACTAGTAGGCTATACTCGGTGTAACGATCTGATGCTTCAACAAGTAGGCTATACTCGGTGTAACGATCTGATGCTTCAACTGGTAGGCTATACACATTGTAACGATCTGTTGCTTCAACTAGTAGGCTATAATCGTCATAACGATCTGATGCTTCAACGAGTAGGCGGCTATACCCGGTGTAACGATCTGATGCTTCAACTAGTAGGCTATACTCGGTGTAACGATCTGTTTCTTCAACTAATTGGCTATACTCGGTGTAACGATCTGATGCTTCAACGAGTAGGCTATACTCGGTGTAACGATCTGATGCTTCAACGAGTAGGCTATACTCGGTGTAACGATCTGTTGCTTCAACTAGTAGGCTATACTCGGTGTAACGATCTGATGCTTCAATTAGTAGGCTATACTCGGTGTAACGATCTGATGCTTCAACTAGTTGGCTATACTCGGTGTTACGATCTGTTTCTTCAACTAGTTGGCTATACTCGGTGTAACGATCTGATGCTTCAACTAGTAGACTATCCAGTACATGTCCATGATCTTGAGGAATATTTCCATCATTGCCATCTTATTGACTTGTTTATGCACATGTGGTTTTGTCACACAATTATATTAAATATACGAATTTGTCCAACTGCGAATAGCTGAGATGAATGTCTCTTAATTCTTTGGACACACTTATGGAAGTACGTTCGTCAGACTACCTTTCATTCCATTTCTCTCAAATAATTTTTTTCTATTGTGTCTGTATATTTCATCAGTACATTTCATCACCTGAGGATTACGACATGTAGTAATTATCTTCAATTTCCAGAGAGAAAACAGCCATGCAAAAAATGTCATTATTCTTTACAGTTAAGTCGTCCAGAGAGGATGGATTTATTGTGTCAGATCTCGCTCCATTTCAACGGCGCTGAGTTGTTGGCCAGGGAGGTTTTTCTTAGGAGAAGGCAGATTACAAGACTCAACCTAACCAGCCTAATGCGTACTGAACTGGCTCTTGACCAGCGCAAACTGGATATCCATGAATGTTGCAAGATCGTGGTAAGAAGATTGACGATCAAACGAAAACAGCGATTTCACAACAGATTGAGACCGGGACAATATTGTAAATTTGATCAGAGAAAAATCCTAGATAAGACAAATCTCGCGAAATATTCCATTTTCGCAATAACAGACATATATTTCGCATATTCGAATAATGTCAACGGGACATGCTGCTATGCAAGTCAGCCATCCTCAGACCAAACACGGAAAAAAGTCTTGAACACCGCATCTATCAATGTTTTTTTCTTTCAGAGCACGACCAAGAAGACGCGGTGCTTTGACGACATGCGACGTCGTCGTATCGACCGGTACTGTAGAACAGGACACCCAGACGTCCCCTTTACTGCCAGACGGGATGTTTTCATGGGGGAAAAAGAGGAGAGGTGTTGCTGGAGACTTGGTATGTTGCGGATGAAGTTCAACATTCTTTAATAGCCTCTGGTCCCACGTAGGAAAATATCGGATTTTGATATTAGTACGATGTCTTTTCAATAATATTTGTGTGGGTTAGACACAACCATATTATCAGTGACTTCATAAACCCAATACTCTGGTTTAAAGATTTAATGTGTTGACGAAATGTCGAAACAGTAACTTGTTCGCAAAGAAAATTCCGAGACCCCTAAACACTGGTGTGTCCTTTCGCTTATATATTTATGCGACTCATGAAGGGTCCGGGTTAGAATAGGCCTTCAGCAATCCATGCTTGTCGTAAAAGGCGACTATGCTTGTCGTAAGAGGCGGCTAACGGTTTCGGGTGGTCAGGCTCGCTGACTTGGTGGATGCATGTCATCGTATCCCATTGCGTGGATCGATGCTCATGATGTCAATCACTGGATTGTCTGGTTCAGACTCGATAACTTACAGACCGTCGTCATATAGCTATTATATTGCTGAGTACAATATCCATACTGTACATGAAAATACTCACTATCGTGTTCACGTCCACAGGCGAACCACGTTATCAGTGCTTTGCCCACAATTCGATTTTCAAGACAGTGAAGGGAAAAAACTCCGTGGATTATTCTTTTGACGAGATGGATCCCGTCAACGACATCGGGGACTATCCTTCAGAAATACGAGAAGTAGAAATGGTAATTATACATACCTCATGAACGATTTTGTATCGTGCGGCTGTCGGTGTTTAGTTTGATTAATGTATTGATCATGAGACAATACATCTAGAGATCGTGCAGCAAGACGGTAAAAGGCAGTCAGTTTAAGGAGTAAAGGAAATCTACACAGAGATTACATTTCTAAAATCTATTCAGTGTACATGTACGTAACAAATTATCTCATTTAAGTTTATTATGTTCTGACGTTTATCTGAAATTAAATAATCTTGACAGACATAATATCTCGATGGAATTTCATTTATTAGCCTGAGAACGTCCTCATGAATATATATTCTTCGCACAGCAACACAACACTGACTACTTTATTGATGATGCTACACAAGAAGTTGTAATTAGAGGGCGTGAAACTGTCACCTACACCATGTCTACTGGACCGTCATCGTCTACGACAATGGCTTCAACAACATCTGAGGCACGTGACAAGGGTACTTCAAAGACACACACCACCAGGAAGTCTGACCAGGCGGAGTCATCCACATACAGCAGCGTTTTGAGCGACGTTCCACGTCGGCAAGCTATCGACGTTAAAACGCCGGTTGCTGCGATATCTGCCGTGGACGCGGAGCTAGATGGTAATTAATGTGATATATGTCTTTGACCCACATTAGAAACGTAATGGTGTTTTCTTTGTCGAAACTCACCTTCCAATCACATTCATTATGCACCAGATTCCATTCACCAAATGTGTGAGGGAGTGTGTTTGGTTTTACGCCACTTTTAGCAATATTCCAGCAATATCAAGGCTGGGGATACCAGATATGGGGTTCAAGCATTGTACCCATGTCGGTAATCGAACCCGGGTCTTCAGCGTAACGAGCTGACGCTTTAAGCACTGGGCTACCAACAGAATGTTCATGTCGCTACATAGTTATTACCTCGGTCAATGGATCATTCTTCCATGATATTGAAAAATGCTTGATTTTTGATTGGTTAAAAAGAGGTATCCTTTTACCTTCTGATACCTCTTTTAAATCAAGCATTTTCATGCAAAAAAATGCATACTAAAACATCGATCTTTCGACAGCCTACGCATCGATGCATACAACAGTGGAAGTCAAAACCTTAAGATTATTGTATACGTTCGATATAAGAACGACAGATTATCAAATATGATAATATCTATATCAGAACACATCCAGTTAAGTAACACACACACTTACTCAGGGCCACATAATCATCGATCGCAAATGTGAGCAGTCTCTCTCGTGTCGTCGTCTGCAGCCAACAGTTAACGGCAGTGATCGCCATACTTCAGGGTGTTTTCTGTTGGCAATGGGTGTGCCAGTAGGCACGTTTTACAACAATACTTCCCCGGGTTTTAATGTTGAACAATACTGAAGACCGAGCTTGTCCTCTTGGTTCATGCAGTTTGTAAATAACACTGTCGTCGTGAACAACTATTTTAGCAGCAATGGACAATGACGAGTAACCTAGTTTAGCCAGATTGAAGTTCTGGGTAGAAATATGTAGTCATTCGTAATATGTATTACTGTTGGGAAGATATGTCAAACAAACTATTACATAAGTACAACTTCAACATAAATCTACTCTTGTTATTTGTTGGAGGCATAAATTTGTTCAGCATTTATTTCTCTTTACTTGACTTATTTGAGTCCAAGGAGTGCAAATATGACATGGTGCAATGAAATTAAAAGTTTGAAGGGTTATTTGACAACTTCTATTTGAAAAAACTATATATTCCGAACTGCATTTTTGAACTAGTCAAGACTATGAGTATTTTAATCTTGAACTTCTGTAATATTTATTGCATTTATAACTACGTGTGACCTCATTTTGGAATGTTCTAAGATAGCAGACCTACGCGTTCCAAGACTGCACCGTTTTCAAAGCGATCTTGCCATCATGGTAGAATCTCCTAAGTGTGCACTCGATTTTCTAGGGATAAAGCTAAGACAGGCCTAAAAGTATAAAATCACTCGCCCGATAGTGTCATTTCTTTCATTGTCTTTGACGTAGTGTAAGGATTGAGACAGATTTACTTTCAGGAACTCAACATTACAGTTTAACATTGAATTTTGTTGATGGTTTTGATTATGTCCATAATTTCAGCCTTAAGAAAACGGAAGCGGAAGCTGGATCTGAAGCTCACCTGTTGTAGACATGGAAAAGATGCTGGCGAAGTCTTCGAAGTTGAGACAGGACTTTATAATCACTGCCGTCATCAGTGGAAGATATACCGGAGAAGCCTGAAGACTGGGAAGAACATGTGTATGAACAAATTCATGGAATGTTGTGTCGACGAGGCTGGCATGTAAGTATTTTAACGAACTTCAATTGCGTTTTGACGTTTATGATTAAAATACAAACCTAAAGACCTAAAGTAAAAAATATGATCAACATGAACTGATATTTTGCATTGTGTGACTACAAATTCATGGAAAATAGAAAGATAAAGTCCTGGACTTTTGATAAACGTTAGTTCAAAACAATGTTGGAAGAATCTCGAAATTAATCAAGAGTAGTAACACCCAAAGCCAATTAGAATATATTTTGTTGATTAACTTCGATATAATCGAAGGTATTATGATGTTCTGAACTGAAATAGCTGAATCACAATACTCTCTTATTTCAGACTCAAAAACCATGATGTCACAATTTCTAAAACATTCTATTGTGATATTCGCATTCCTTCAAACCATGATACCCATTCAACCAATATTAGACACTCGAGAAATATTGAAAGTAAATTGTTCCATACCATGCAGGATCTAATTCAGCAAGTGAAAAAATACAAAATGAAAGAAATGCCACACTTAAACAATAACGTATTAACAATTTCACCCATTTTAATTTCTACCAATATTTCCAAAATGCCTACAAAACAGAATCCCCCAGATCGAACGAAAAACATTGTAAGAGATGATGTCTCTGAAATTGACGTAGATGTATATAAAACTATTGAAACCAACATGATCCCAGCCCTTAATCATGAAACCAAGGTCAGTCCCTCATTCACTCGTGACACCATGGTCACACCCGACAGCACACCCGACAGGATTATCATTCAACCAATGCAACACATTCTAGGTATGAAAAAAGTCGTAAATTTGCTTGCGAGTATATTCATCATTGTTTATTTTTATCATTGCTTAAATATAGATCGCCTAAACCTTCATACCTAATACCTAAATAGTTCTTTTGTACATGCCAAAGTCACTTTTATGTTTGTCCTATGAAGCAACTTAATTGGAAATGGTCTTCGACAAAAGCTGTTGAAGTTTTGGTGCCACATTTAAGTGTGGACAACCGGGAAACTCTCATATTCTATCTAGCTCTCCTCGAATGCTCGTACCCGGGTCGATGCCCACACATTCAGATGATGGTTTGTCTGTTCTGGATTCGATCTAGTTTTTTATTCAGAAACTCTGCCCTGTTTTCCTATACTTACTGTAGGGTGACGGCATATTAACATGGTAACGAATACATATTTTGATAATGCTATGAGATTTGATGTCAGCACATTTACTCCCTTCTTAACGATGGCGAATGGATTTTGAAATATATCATGTATATACCTTCCTATAATAGAATCTAACAACGAAAGGCTCATTGAAGGATATATTGTCATATATTGATATTACCCTTTTCGTTCTATCTCTAACTGCGGCGGTGGTGTAGCCTAATGGGTAAAACGTTCAGTTCGATAACTCACATGGGAACAACGTGTGAAGCCCATTTCTGGTGTCCCCTGTCGTGATATTGCTGGAATATTGCTAAAAGAGGCGTAAAACCTTACTCACTCACTATCTCTAACTAACATCTGCTTATACTAACATATTTTGCATTCGGCATCTACTGGGATTATTATATGGAAATTACACATTCTTTGCGTAATTCAGCTTTCTGTCAGTATTTATAAAATAAATAACAGTTGGTTTACAGGAGAGAATAAAATCTCAGTTAGGAAATTCTCATTGAGTATTGCTAACGAAAATGAGAAAGACTGACACAAGTCAAGCTACACAAGTAAAGAACGATATGTTGACGCTCCATTTCAATACATTTATATTGTCATTTTTGTATCTGCTATCACCAACTACCATCTGTAACCTACTATGCTTCTATGAATATATTTAATTTATTATGTGTTAGACTTTGAGATGAACAGTTACTTCAATAGTTCAACAAATCCAAATAATTGTCATTTAACATTTTAATGAAAACAGTTATAATGTACTATTATAACGCCATCAATTTTAATAAATGACATAAATAACATTGACACTGAACAGTTAATAGGAACAAGGAAATAGTTCTAATAATCTTTGCAGACAATGAACTTCTAAGGCTCAATAAATATTTGATTTCATCAAGTATAAAAATAATATTTCTTGTAAGACTCTTTATCAGGAGTGTTCCACTTTACGATTTTCCAAAAGTTCAAGATTTAATATAGTACGATTCAATTACAGATCCTCAACACAAGCAGCCCCGACGCACATTTCGTATCGCGGCCATCCGATTGCGCAGGTTGCGCAAGCGACACCGACAAGATTACTACTGAGCCTAGGAACAGAGGCGGGTAAATCCACACCGCCAGGTCAAGATCCTCCCTTGAGAGAGAAATCGAAAGGACCCAACCAACCAACTGGATCCACCCCTACCACCAACAGAAAATCGACTTCCAGTCCAAAAGCAACAGCCATCCGTCCATCCATCAAATCATATTCAACACGTGCTCCGGAACTGACTGTTTCAAAGAATCTCAAAAGAAGTCGTGGATTGCCGAGATCACGTAAACAGACACCTATGTTACGGTCGCTAGAAAAACAGAAAAGTGGATCCAGGCGTAACGTTAGAAAATCGAACGCTGATTTTAACTCAAAGTCAAGGAAAAGCATGAAACAGAGGCGAAGACATAGGAGAAAGCGACCACATCGTTCTCACTTCAAGAAATAAGAATATTTTCATCCATAGTTTTTCATATTCAAGATCGTGTTTCCGAGAGACCATGGACGGTCGAATCCATCCAAACAAACGGAGATTCATTATTATTCTTATAGAATAACTTATTCGTGGAACACCATATAGAATCATGGATCCGCCTCATCGTGTTATTTCATACTTGATGTACGTTGTGTTCTTGAAATCTTTAATTTAGTCAACACGGGCAGAGGGTAGCATAGTGGGTAAATTGTGAAGCGTCATTTACTCTCTTGCCCCTCCATCGATTTATGTCATGATAGTTCAAGAGATTTCAAAAGACACACTTACTGATAAGTTCTCATCGTGATCTCCATGAACCCATTAAGAAATGAACGATCTCCTCATTGACATTGTGAAGAAGGCCATCTGGTTCCACACTGCTGTGTCAATGCTTGGGCCTTCTAGTATGCATGACCCCTTGTGAAACTGAAGTGAAGTGAATGTTTTTCAATGCATGAACGAGTCTTGTGTGTGTGTATGTATATATATTTTTGATAAAGTACAGTTTGTTATTTATTTTTTCAATAAAATTGATTGAGCATCCTTTGTTTGAGGCGCATTGATATACTATTCCGGTTTGCTCTCTGCGAAGGCAGAAAACGTCATCACCGTGTGACAATAGATGTGATGTATTATTGAAATATTTCAACATATGAAACAATATTTACAGACTAACACGTAAATAAACATCCCGCACAACTGAATTTTCACAGATTACATCTCTTTTCAAAATAACATTTGGATCAATTTACCTAGCGGCTTTTCTAACATAAATATAATATTTTGTTGTTGCTTAACACCAAATATTCCAGCTACAGTAAACTACGTTTATAACGAACACGCTTATAACGAACTGACGGATATAACGAACTTATTTTTTTATGGTCCCGGCTATTTGCTGTTTATGTGCTGTATATATGCTTATAACGAACTGTGGTGACAACGAACTGAAACTAGTGGTCCCTTTGACTTCGTTATAACCGTAGTTTACTGTATTTGATTGTAAATAATTGAGTCCGGGTAAGACAATCCCTTGAGAATCGATCCATGAAAATGAAATACGGACACATAAAAGCAAAGCAAAGGTTTTTTTCTCACAGGACAGTTGTGCCTGTAAACAAAAACATGTCTTTGTCGAAAAGATAAATGTCGAAAGGTGTCATTTATATTTAATTAATGATGACTGATTATTTAGGTTCGTGACGCTGAAATCAATCACACAGTCAACAGCCCTTATTGATTCTTATACGTACGTGACAATGGATGTCTTGCTGGCTTCGGGCAGTTTGGACCCCATGAGACTTTACGTGGACAAGTTAAAGTCCAATGCCGTCAAGAAGAAGCTTGCGGTCTGCAATGACGCATTTGTTTCGTTGGGCACGTTTGTTCAGAGACGTTCTTTCAAAAATGCCTGATGTCATCAACAAGTGCAGTTTGTGGCTTGTAATCCTACTATACTCGGATTGTGATACAGGGTTGGCGACTGATATTCACGCGGCTAGCGTAGAGAATTGTAGACCATTGGACATAACGAGAAGTAATTCTCTTGATCCTGAAAACGTTTTTCTAACCCTGCAGACGTGGAACTACTTCTCCTGCTGCGGCCTGTGCACCTATCAAGAGGGTTGCCATTACTTTCGGTGGGAAAGCCAAAATCGTACATGTTCTCTTCTGAGTAGCAACACAAGGCATGATGTCTTAAAATGTTCGGTAAGAATATTGCGATCAGTTTCAAAAATTGGTGCCATCCTAATTAAATTCCTATTGAATAAGGATGGGTCTACACCTGAAAAAATTGCCACGTTATCAGAATCTGGTTCTGGCTGCAAATATTATTCTCCATTGTGCAATAAGCAATACAATGTCAGTAAGGGATACAAATATGTACCCTATTTGTATGTTCCCGTGTTTGTTCAGGAGAACACTTGACTTGCCTTTGCATGTATTTATGATGGGCGCCACAGGTGGGAAAGGATGCTTTCATCTTTTTGCGAACACCTGGTATCATCACTATTTGATATTGACTCATAAGCACATGATTATGATAATTTTATTATCGGAATAGTACAACGGGCTTTGCTTTTGTCACTTTTATTTACATGTTTTGGATAAAGTTTAGCTCCCCGGCATTCGTAGTCATTTACTTTCCCCTTAGCGGCGTGTGCCAGTTACAAGACCACTGATACATTATATCAGTAATATAACCTGTCTGCAAAGAAAACATTTATAGCATATCATCGTAACAAGTGAGGTGTTGGATCCAGTAGTGGCTGGTGCCCTCAGTCTTTTTCTTGTTTCTGTTAATATGAATTGGAATTTCTGCTGGGATTGGCAAAATCAAAACACGGGGATTTGGATAAACACTTAAACGTAAGCTTCGGGTTAATCGATGATCTGGTATCGTTCAATGATGGTCAAATAAGCAATTCCCTTCCACTTATTTACCCATCTGTACTAGAAAATATATTAGACAAATAAAACCGCTTCAACTGTTTCATGTTTAGATCGATGTATAAGTGGCGATAGAGTAAGCAATAGAGTGTGGCTTGAGGAATGACTTCCAGTTGTTAACTTTCCGTAACAGTTATTTCGAATAATGTTACAGCAGCCCCAGCCTTTGGTGAATACATTTCATAAAATAGAAGGTACAATCGAGCGGGCTCTTTCTAAGAAGGTTTCTGGGAGGATAATAAAACTCTTGCTCAAAAGGTTTTTGATCAGGTTTTCAAATATTTTATATAAAGACATGTTTATATTTGACGCATAAGTGACCAAAATGTTGTCAGTTGGAGTTCCTTAGTTTGATCTATACCTTATGTTCCCGTGGTTGTTCAGGTGAACACTTGACTTGCCTCTGCATGTGTTTGTGAAGGGTGTCATCAATGGAGCAGGATACGCTGACTCTTTGATATCTCTAATTGATTGTGTATATTTTGAAAACTGTATCTATAGTGAGTGAGTGAACTGGGTTTTAACGTCGCTTTGAACAATATTCCAGTTATATAACAGTGTGTCAGTTTGATGTGGGAGGAAAGCCCGAAGTGATTCAGGTCTTAGACGTTTACCACTTTGGTGAGACCCACGAGCACGAGTATGGTGCTGACAAACATAGAAATATAATTGGGGCGAACCGGGATTCCAACCCAAAATCATAGGTTCTGGTGTGCCCAAAGGACGCAACTTTACATATCCGTGCCCCCGTATATCTCACTAATCAAGATTGATGACTCGTGCTTTTAGATGTACTTATTTCGAGGAATCATCACATTCTGTCCAAAATAATCCTGTAGGGTAATCTCAGCGTTGTTGTTATTGACTTAAATCCATGAACGTTTCAAATGATTTACAATGTCTGCTTTTAATGTTTCAAAATAGTAATGTGCAGGTAGAGGGTGGAAAATGCTCTTTTTCGAAAAGGAATAGGGAAAGGAAATAACTCTGGAAACTATTTATTTTATACAACTTTAGTTCCGGGCAAGGATGAGAAACAATTAAGCTTCGTTGTGAGATTGCGAATATATTCATATATTGGCATTTTACCGAATATATTTCATATAATTTCGCTTCAGTGAATACGTTCAATGACTGGTTCAAATATGTTCCCAAAGTGCGTTTTATTAAATGTATCTTTTGTTTTAGTACCCGGGAAACCATGGGTGTATCATGAGTCCATGTGGGTATCGGGAGGTGTATGTACCAGTGGAGGGTGCGCATGGCTACATGTGTCTCAAAGGTAATGGGCGAATTACGACAATGTTGATTCAGTAATTAGATCCATGAATGGATAGTTCAGACCATCATTGGTCAATCAATAGTGGCCGAGAAATTATAGATAAGAAACAATGTTTCTCTGCTGCGGTTAAAAAACAGTTGCCATCATAAAAATATCTGGGCATTTAAATGTGTTGAGTGTCAGTGATTTGCGTCATCCACAGAGGCACCCGTGAAGATCCGGGGTAGAATAGGTATTCAACAGCCCATGCTTGCCATAAAAGGTGAATATGCTTGTCGTAAGAGGCGACTAACGGGATCGGGTGGTCAGACTCGCTGACTTGGTTGATGCATGTCATCGATCCCAATCGCGTGGGTCGATGCTCATGATATCAATCACTGGATTGTCTGGTCCAGACTCGATTATTTACAGACAGCCGCCATATAGCTGGAATATTGCTGAGTGCGGCGTAAAACAACAATCGAATCAAAACCAAAAATCATCCACAGAGGCAAGTTCGTCATCGTTCCATAATTTATGTAGTGATTATTAGAACCTGTGAGTGTATGGTAGCATATCAGTTACAGAAGACAATCGAGAACGAATATCGAAATTCACACGAACAGTGTGTGTCCCGGAAAACATAGACTTTGTAAGGTTTCCAAAGTAGTAATTTAGACAAGTTAGACAATAGTCAATCAACACTCGGACTCATTATGCCACTTACAATTGGATATTACATCGGTGCAACATCGTTAAAATGACATCTTCAATGCGTTATACAACTGCAAATCTGATAATCGTTATAAGGAAAAAAAAAACCCTTAAAATAGCAATCTTACTCATTAGAATGCCAGTAATAGATATTTGATGTGACCACAGCAAGTATGACATTTTGAAATGTTTTTAATGCGTTCAATGTAAAGCCAAAAACATTTTACATTTTTAGCGAAAAGGGAGTTTACGGTCAAACCTATCAATCTGTAGTTAAGGAGGGTAGTTGGCTTTTTCATGGAGCACTGGGTAGAAATAGATCGCTTCTAAATAATTTAAACGCAAAAAAAAGAATACCAGCAATCACGCCGTCAGTGAACGTGGTGAGGTGAAATGGCGTCCAAGATTATTGCACTTATATAGCGACGTGCATGTACGTCTGTGTGTTTGTGTGGCTGCTTGTACTAGTCCGGACTGATGCCGAGTTATAGTGCTAGCTCACTGAGATACCATGCCGCAGTTTAACATGAATATCCCACTCAGACACAGTATACTGACTCCGAGCCGACCAGTCCTCGTTTTAGCCCCTTAATGCCGAGCGACAGACAGGGTAACAACAAGTACCATCTTTTAACGTCTTTTGGTATGACGCGGCCGGGGATCGAACCCCGGACCTTCCGCTCTCCGGGGGGACGCTCTACCATTAGACCACGGAGGCGGTCTCCGTCAGTGAACGATGTCATAAGATGTAAGATGTAATGATGTAAGATTTATTCGACCTTAGTGATACAGCTGCAGATCAGTAAATCACCAACTGCCTTTCCAGCTTGAACAGCCCAGTGGTTAAAGCGTTCGCTCGCCGAGCCGACGGCCCGGGTTCCAGTCCCCACATGGGCACTATCTGTGAAGCCCATCTCGTGTGTTTTTGCTGGAATATTGCTAAAAGAGGCGTACAACTATTCTTTCTCTTACTCGCCCACTCCAGCTGCAACTGACCTCGGCTCCCCCTGTAACTCTGAAGAGGACTGTGGTGGCGGACTTCACTGGGAGTGCACCGATGGGAGATGTCGCTGCCAACTGGGCTACCTTCACTCCAAGTCTCATCGCCACTGCCAGA